GTAATAATACTAATAATAATGAAACTAATAGTAATAATACTAATAGTAATAATACTAATAAAAATAATAGTAATAATACTAATAATAATGATACTAATAATAATAATACTAATAGTAATAATACTAATAGTAATAATACTAATAGTAATAATACTAATAGTAATAATACTAATAGTAATAATACTAATAGTAATAATACTAATAGTAATAATACTAATAGTAATAATACTAATAATAATAATACTAATAATAATAATACTAATAGTAATAATACTGATAGTAATAATACTAATAGTAAAAATACTAATAGTAATAATACTAATAGTAAGAATACTAAAAGTAATAATACTAATAGTAATAATACTAATAGTAATAATAGTAATAGTAATAATACTAATAGTAATAATACTAATAGTAATAATACTAATAGTAGTAATACTAATAGTAATAATAGTAATAGTAATAATACTAATAGTAATAATACTAATAGTAATAATACTAATAGTAATAATACTAATAGTAATAATACTAATAGTAATAATACTAATAGTAATAATACTAATAATAATAATACTAATAATAATAATACTAATAATAATGATACTAATAGTAATAATACTAATAGTAATAATACTAATAGTAATAATACTAATAGTAATAATACTAATAGTAATGATCCTAATAATAATGATCCTAATAGTAATAATACTAATAGTAATAATACTAATAGTAATGATACTAATAGTAATAATACTAATAGTAATAATACTAATAGTAATAATACTAATAGTAATAATACTAATAATAATGATACTAATAGTTATAATACTAATAGTAATAATACTAATATTAATAATACTAATAGTAATAATACTAATAGTAATAATACTAATATTAATAATACTAATAATAATAATACTAATAGTAAAAATACTAATAGTAAGAATACTAAAAGTAAGAATACTAATAGTAATAATACTAATAGTAAGAATACTAATAGTAATAATACTAATAGTAATAATACTAATAGTAATAATACTAATAGTAATAATACTAATAGTAATAATACTAATAGTAATAATACTAATAATAATACTAATAATAATAATACTAATAGTAATGATACTAATAGTAATAATACTAATAATAATGATACTAATAGTAATAATACTAATAAAAATAATAGTAATAATACTAATAATAATGATACTAATAGTAATAATACTAATAGTAATAATACTAATAGTAATAATACTAATAATAATAATACTAATAATAATAATGATCCTAATAATAATGATACTAATAGTAATAATACTAATAATAATGATACTAATAGTAATAATACTAATAGTAAAAATACTAATAGTAATAATACTAATAGTAATAATACTAATAATAATGATACTAATAATAATGATACTAATAGTAATAATACTAATAGTAATAATACTAATAGTAATAATACTAATAGTAATAATACTAATAGTAATAATACTAATAAAAATAATAGTAATAATACTAATACTAATAAAAATAATAGTAATAATACTAATAGTAATAATACTAATAATAATGAAACTAATAGTAATAATACTAATAGTAATAATACTAATAAAAATAATAGTAATGATCCTAATAATAATGATCCTAATAATAATGATACTAATAGTAATGATCCTAATAATAATGATCCTAATAGTAATAATACTAATAGTAATGATACTAATACTAATGATACTAATAGTAATAATACTAATAATAATAGTAATAATACTAATAGTAATAATAATGATACTAATAGTAATGATACTAATAGTAATGATACTAATAGTAATAATACTAATAGTAATAATACTAATAGTAATAATACTAATAGTAATAATACTAATAGTAATAATACTAATAATAATGATACTAATAATAATGATACTAATAGTAATAATACTAATAGTAATAATACTAATAGTAATAATACTAATAGTAATAAAACTAATAATAATGATACTAATAGTAAGAATACTAATAGTAAAAATACTAATAGTAATAATACTAAAAGTAAGAATACTAAAAGTAATAATACTAATAGTAATAATACTAATAGTAATAATAGTAATAGTAATAATACTAATAGTAATAATACTAATAGTAATAATACTAATAGTAGTAATACTAATATTTATAATACTAATAGTAAGAATACTAATAGTAATAATACTAATAATAATGAAACTAATAGTAATAATACTAATAGTAGGAATACTAATAGCAATAATACTAATAGTAATAATACGAATAGTAGGAATACTAATAGTAATAATACTAATAGTAACAATACGAATAGTAACAATACTAATAGTAATAATACTAATAGTAATAATACTAATAGTAATAATACTAATAGTAATAATACTAATAATAATGATACTAATAATAATGATACTAATAGTTATAATACTAATAGTAATAATACTAATAGTAATAATACTAATAGTAATAATACTTATAGTAATAATACTAATATTAATAATACTAATAGTAAAAATACTAATAGTAAAAATACTAATAGTAAAAATACTAATAGTAATAATACTAATAGTAATAATAGTAATAGTAATAATACTAATAGTAATAATACTAATAGTAATAATACTAATAGTAATAATACTAATAGTAATAATACTAATAGTAATAATACTAATAGTAATAATACTAATAGTAATAATACTAACAGTAATAATACTAATAGTAATAATACTAATAAAAATAATAGTAATAATACTAATAATAATGATACTAATAATAATGATACTAATAATAATAATACTAATAGTAATAATACTAATAGTAATAATACTAATAGTAATAATACTAATAGTAATAATACTAATACTAATAATAATGATACTAATAGTAATAATACTAATAGTAATAATACTAATAGCAATAATACTAATAGTAATAATACTAATAGCAATAATACTAATAGTAATAATACGAATAGTAATAATACTAATAGTAATAATACTAATAGTAATAATACTAATAGTAATAATACTAATAGTAATGATACTAATAATAATGATACTAATAGTAATAATACTAATAGTAATAATACTAATAGTAATGATACTAATAATAATGATACTAATAGTAATAATACTAATAGTAATAATACTAATAGTAATAATACTAATAGTAATAATACTAATAGTAATGATCCTAATAATAATAATACTAATAGTAATAATACTAATAGTAATGATCCTAATAGTAATGATACTAATAGTAATAATACTAATAGTAATGATACTAATAGTAATAATACTAATAGTAATAATACTAATAGTAATAATACTAATAATAATAATACTAATCATAATGATATATAATGATAATAGAAACAATTAAGAAAATTATCATAATTGTAACAGAATCGGTATAATAATAGTAGGAGTAATAATAACAATGATAGTAGTATATAATGATTGACCAAAATAGTGTCTTGACCAAGCTTTGCAGCCAACAGCAGGTTCCAGGGTTGGTGCCGTTCTTGTTTCTCCAAGAACGCCCAAAACCACTCCCAGACCCAGAGATTGAAACCCGACACTCACTGCTGTTGCGAATAGCACTATATTGCTATGGACACTGGTATGGATGGTAACCGTTATATGTATTAGTTCTATTCTCTTCATTGTCATGGCAATTATCATTATTACAATCTAAATAATAATAATGGCTGGATTAGATAGATATGTTGGGATATGCGGGGGATGTGTTTGGTGACATCTTGTGGAAATTCTGATGATGAATTTTATCCATCCACGTAATCCCTACAAAAGAAAACTACCTAAAGACAACACTGCAAATTTATATATCGGATCTAAATACTGTATATAGGTCAAGTCTTGTTCGGAAAGAACATGAGAATGTGACCACTATGACCCAAATGAAAACTGGCAAACCAACAAGCCCACAGTGTTTTGCCTGGACAGCACCTCCACTGCTTGGGCATAAAGCCCCACAGCCTGCAGCAAGTGCTGCTGTGCTGCGGCATTCCCAGGCAACTGCCCTTGTCGGCACATGTCGTTGCCCTGGAGCCTCCAACGGGGGTGGGTTCCCTGGTCCATGCCGACACCCAGCTATTGGTTCAGCACTGATTCGTTTCGGTGATACATTCTCAGTCATTCTCTTCTATATTTTAGCCGGTCACCAGCGAGTGTAGAATTGATTCTATCCACGCCCACAAACGGATTCCGACTTCTTGATTGTTGAAACCTGCATTCTTTTCCACTGGATCATCCTAGGCCATGACAGATCATCATCGCAAAACCTCAGGTTCCTCCTTGCATCCTCTTTTTCACATATGTCTCCAATCCTCCATGGTGGGGTTCTCGGCTCCCCTTGTTCAAAGTGGCCAAAATCCCATCATCACTGCGGGAGATTTGATTCCCCTAATCCCAACCAGCAATCGCCAGCAATCGCCAGCAATCACCACTGACTTAACATTCTCTCTGGTCAATTCCCTGGTTAAATTGCAGGTCAATTCCCTGGTTCAACGCAGCGGAAATCAATTAATCCACCCAATTTTATTGCCCCAGTCCCATTTCATTGCAACTGCAACCCAAAAAAGTCCAACAAACTAGACGACGGATGGCCCGAGAGCGTAGAGGAGCAGAGTCTTCTGGTGTTAGCATGGAAACACTATATTAGAAGACAATATATTAAAGATGTATAATGGGCAGACGAGAAGAGCAGTATCAAAACAATTTATCACAAACACAAGACAATAGTTTGCATCGTATCTTTCGTATCGTTTCTTCACCCACAGACCTTTTCACAGATAGACGTTTTTGCACACAGAGACTTTTACACACAGACGTTTTTACACACAGACGCTTTTACACACAGAAGCTTTTACACACAGATGTTTTTACACACAGACGCTTTTACACACAGGCCCTTTTAAACAAAGAAGCTTTTACACACAGCAAGAAGCATAGAGAAGTTTTTACACGCAGACCTTTTTACACATAGAGACTTTTACACACACACACAGAGACTTTTACACACAGAGACTTTTACACACAGACGCTTTTACACAGAGACGCTTTTACACACAGAGACTTTTACACACAGAAGTCTTTACACACAAACGCTTTTACACACAGAGACGCTTTTACACACAGACGCTTTTACACACAGACACTTTTAGGCTGCACGTCCATAGAAACCCGCGCGTCTTTTGCTGCCAGGTGAACATGACGTCTTTGTGGAACTTGGATCTAAGGTTTTGCAGATGGTTGTGAAATAGTAATTTACAAGCATTTTCATGTTGGTTTTTTCACAGATCATCATGGATTCATTGTTAACATATCATTCGTTCATTTCAGTGTTGAAGATGACAGCGTCTGAAACTAACTTTGGGATGACAAAAACATGTTTTTCATTGCGTTTCGTGTATGATTTGGTACATTAAATTTCGACATCGGGAGAGGAAATTTCATGTATTGCAAGTGCAAGAGAAGATCTCAGAGCGTAGCATGACGTGTGAGTGCAAGTGCAAGAGAAGATCCCAGAGCGTAGCATGACGTGTGTGTGCAAGTGCAAGAGAAGATCCCAGAGCGTAGCATGACGTGTGTGTGCAAGTGCAAGAGAAGATCCCAGAGCGTAGCATGACGTGTGTGTGCAAGTGCAAGAGAAGATCCCAGAGCGTAGCATGACGTGTGTGTGCAAGTGCAAGAGAAGATCCCAGAGCGTAGCATGACGTGTGTGTGCAAGTGCAAAAGACGATCCCAGAGCGTAGCATGACGTGCGTGTGAAAGTGCAAGAGAATATCCCAGTCCATGCGTGTTCAAGTTGACATGAAGGTTATTGCCACACCCCACCCCACCAATCCCCACCCTGACTGCACAACATACATTCCATGCGTGTGCCACTTGACATGAACGTTATTGCCCCACACCACCACCCTTCCCCCACCCATATCACAGATATGCATATTGTATTGCGGGCTTCTAGGGACGTGCATGGCTTTACACACAGACGCTTTTAGACACAAACGCTTTTAGACACAAACGCTTTTACACACAAACGCTTTTAGACGCAAACACTTTTAGACACAGAGACTTTTACAGGCAGACGCTTTTACACACAGAGGCTTTTACACACAGAGGCTTTTACACACAGACGCTTTTACACACAGAAGCTTTTACACACAGAAGCTTTTACATACTTCGCCGGACAACTTGGAAATCGCAATTTTACCTCAGTTTTTGGCGATCGAACCTCATTTCGTGTGAGATTTGAAATCGCAATTTTACCTCAGTTTTTGGCGATCGAACCTCATTTCGTGCGAAAGGGTTGTGCGGGACGCCTTGAAATCGTAACTTTACATCAGTTTTTGGCGATCGAACTTCATTTCGTGTGAAAGAGCTGCGCCGGACGACGGGACCCCTTGAAATCGCAATTTTGCCGCAGTTTTTGACGATCGAACCTCATTTCGTGCGAAAGGGTTGCGCGGGAACCCGGGAAATCGCAATTTTACCGTAGGTTTCGGCGATCGAACCTCATTTCGTGCGAAAGAGCTGCGCCGGACGACGGGACCCCTTGAAATCGCAATTTTACCGCAGTTTTTGGCGATCGAACCTCATTACGTGCGAAAGGGTTGCGACGGGAACCCGGAAATCGCAATTTCACTTCAGTTTTTGGCGATCGAACCTCATTTCGTGCGAAAGGGTTGCATTTCGTGCCGTCTCGTTGGCACTGCCCCGCGCCTTCAAGAGAGAAATAGAAAAGAAGGAGAGAGCAAGAGGGCAAGAGAGCAAGAGGGCAAGAGAGAATGTGAAGGTGTGAAGATGAGAAGATGTGAAGATGAGAAGATGTGAAGATGTGAGGATGTGAAGATGAGCAGATGTGAAGATGACAAGATGTGAAGATGAGCAGATGTGAAGATGAGGATGAGAAGATGTGAAGATGAGAAGATGTGAAGATGAGAAGATGTGAGGCTGAGAAGATGCGAAGATGAGAAGATGTGAAGATGAGAAGATGTGAAGATGAGAAGATGTTTTACAGACCCCCACTATTGGAAGAACCCTGCGCTCAGACGCTCTCTGGAAAAATGCCGCATCATGCCAGCTTTTTCCACATTTTTCCACCAAGACTGCCAAGTCAGGCCTCAGGTTTTCCGCCTCCACCAGGGCCTGCTGAGCCCTCAGCTGCTGTTCCTCCACGAGGCGCCGCCGCTGCTCAGCCTTTTGCGCTTCGCGCTGCAGGCGTCGCTCGCGGACCTGCGTGGACGGCAGGCGGGGAGAGCTCATGACATGCACCAATGGCGGGATCAAGTGCTTTCGAGAGGGAATATGTACACAAGGACATATTGAAGTGTATGCATATTTATATAGTTATATAATATTATATACAATTATAGAACTAATAATACACCTTTGATCTGTGTCATGCTGTGAAAATCGGCTTCGACATGTTCCGAAAATTCCTAGCATCACTTCCATGGACAATTTCAAGCTTGAAACGCTTGTGAGATACCCTTGATTTTGCCAGCAACCAACAACCAACCCCTGGGACCCAACTTCGACCAAGTTTGGCAACAGCCCCAACCAAGGAATATGTTTCACCCGGGTGAAGATAGATAAACTTCCTGAAATATGAAGTAAACAAACATATAAAACCACCAACCCCAGGAATCTGTACCTTGCCTGTATTGCTGTGGATGGATCTTATCGTTAATTCAAAACATATATGTTACCATTGGGGTCTACTAGGTTTGTTGGCTAATCTTCCATCTCTGTATCTCTGTCTTATTTTTGGTTCCAGAAATGCTTCCCCAAGATTCCTACCTCAACGCCCATCAGATCAAAAAAAGCGGGTCAGCAGCAACCCCAGCGGCCTCAGGATCCTCATTGGCTGCAGTCCACTTGCGCCGTGCTTCAGTGGCAGCGAAGGCCAACCAGCCACCAGGGCTGCGCAGATTCCACTCCTGAGACAGAACTGGGGTTCAGTATCTGGTGGATCTTCCACAAGGAACAGGGGGATATGGTGGTGAATATAGGGATATGATGTGAATTGAATTTGATGGGATATTCAAAAAAAATAGGAGAGTGAATTGATTTCTATGGATTTCTTATGATTTTTGATATGGAAATTGGACGCATCGAGTTTTGGATACAGATTCAGATTCGTTTGAGGGGCACCAAGCATATTGGGATGAATCTCAAAGGGGAAGCCAAGCTTGAGACACTGTGCATTCACATAGCTGGGTGCTGTAAATGAAATGTTGCTGATAGAATTCATGCTACTCCAGTAGGATCCATCGTGTATTTTCAAACTTCAAGCCATCTTTAAGCTCTTCTGGATCTTGCAAGTCGTTTCCTTGATGGTCCAGGTCCAAGACAGTTTTGAAATTGATATGGCAGTTCCCAACAAATAATCACAACAACCACCTCTTCCCTCCCTCTTTTTTGGGTGTTCCAATACGGCCAGTTGATCCAGATGCTCCTCGCATTGCACAGCAAGAGCTTCAAGGCGTTTCACTTCAGCTTCCTGTAGTTGACACTCCTTGTCCTTCACTAAGCTGCACAGGTTGGTGGCCGCCTGCGATCAATGGCAATGGATTCACACCATTTTGTAGCTTTTATGCACTCTCTGATTTGCCAGTTTGAAGCCTTGAGTTTCAATGTGAATACAACAACTTTTTGGAGAACTCACCCAGCATGGGTGATGCATGGTGCCTCCTCGAGCAAGTCGTTGCTGAGGCTCTGAGACGGCACCTGGGCCTCCAGAAGAGACATGTAGTGCCTGCCAGAAGTGATCACGCTGGTAGCGATTGGCTGGGTTGTCGCTCAAGAAAAATGTCCAAACATACCAAAACCCTCCAAGACCATCCAACACTACGGTTTTTTGTCTGTTTTGGTGGGGAAGCCAATGGTTTTGGGCCTTCCCATTCACCCATTCTTCAAAACAAGATGGAAGCCACGAACCCGAATGTATTCACGTTCTTGGACTACGAGCGCAAACCTCTGCAATAGGAAAACGCACCTTTTTTGCATGCATCGTGCGCTCATATCGTCTCAGCGAAGGCACCTGAGCAACAGTTCAAAAAGAGACAACTAACCAGCACAACAACATCACCACCAGCACAACGAAATCACCACCAGCACAACAACATCACCAGCGCCAAAAAAAAACACACAACGAAATCACCAGCGCAACGAAAGCACCAGCGCAAAAAATCACCAGCGCAACGAAATCACCAGCACAACGAACGCACCAGCGAACCTCACCAGCGCAACAAATCATCAGCACAACAAAATCACCAATACAACGAAATCACCGGCACAACGAAATCAGCAGCACAACAACATCACCAGCACAACGAGGTCACAACCACCTGACACACTCCACGCTCTACCCACTGCACACCACACTCCACACTTTACACTTTACACTCCACACTTTACACTCTACACTTTACACTCTACACTCTACACTCCACACTCGACACTTTCCACTCCACACTCCACACTCTACACTTTACACTCCACACTCCCCAATCCACACTTTACACTCCTCAATCTACACTATATCTACACTTTAAACTCCACACTTCAAACTTTACACTTTGCACTTTGCACTTTACACTCCTCACTCCACACTCTACACTTTACACTCCACACTCCACACTTTACACTTTACACTCTACACTCCACACTCCACACTTGACCCACTGCACACTGCACACTGCACACTCCACACTCCACGCTCTACACTGCACACTCACTGCACACTGCACACTCCACACTTTACACTCCACACTCTTCACTCCTCACTCCACACTCCACACTCCACACACTACACTCCACACTCCACACTCCACAACACTCTACACTCTACACACACCACACTCCTCACTCCACACTCTACACTTTAAACTCCACACTCCACACTTTACACTTTACACTCTACACTCCACACTCCACACACTACACTTCCACACTTACACTCCACGCTCTACACTTTACACTCTACACTCCACACTCGACACTTTCCACTCCACACTCCATTCTCTGTACTTTACACTCCACACTTTACACTTTACACTTTACACTTCTCACTCCACACTTTACACTTTGCACTTTACACTCCTCACTGCACACTTTACACTCCACACTCCACACTTTACACTCCACACTCCACACTTTACACTTTACACTCTACACTGCACACTTTACAGTTTACACTCCACGCTTTCCACTTTACACTCCTCACTCCACACTTTACACTACACACTTTACACTCCACACTTTACACTCCACACTCCACAATTTACACTTTACACTCTACACTTTACACTACACTCTACACTCCACACTTTACACTTTCCACTCTACACTTTGCACTCTACACTCCACACTCGACACTTTCCACTCCACACTCCGGACTCTCACTTTAAAGCTTTGCACAAACACGTTCCAGCACTACCGATCCGTATCCTGCAAAACTTGCACGAACACGATGTTTTGGAGCTTTCCCCATAGACCCGGCGACGTGAACACAGCAAAACATGCAAAACGAAAGAGGTTTTGCAGCTTCCCCCATAGACGCGGCGACGTGTGCACAGCAAAACGAGCGAGGCTTTGCAGCTTCCCCCATAGACACGGCGACGTGAGCGCAGCAAAACGAAGGAGGTTTTGCAGCTTTCCCCATAGACACGGCGACGTGAGCGCAGCAAAACAATCGAAGCTTCGCAGCTTCCCCCATAGAAAACGAGCGTTTCGTGCGAGACTTCCTCCAATTTTGGCATTTTCGACACGTTATCAAACAGGCTGGAAGGTGACAAAGTACCACGCCTGCCACGCAAAACGACATGAGAACCTGCTTGACAACCTTCAAAAAGGCGAGGTTTTGCAGCTTCCCCCATAGACACGGAATTAACGACGCGAAAACGACGCCACGACGACGCGACGAGCAACTGGAGGCGAACAAGGGTCCAGCCCCCAGACCCCCATGCAGACTATAAACGGGAACCGTTCGCTACGCATTCGGGAAAAAGTCTCCAGGTCAGCGAGTTTCTGCCTTGCAGCCTGCCCTGAGTCCTGCTGAATGGCCGGCTCATAGCCAGACTCATACAGCGAGGCCAAGGTCAGCAGGGCTGGGCTGTAGCCGAACCCCTCCTCCTGCACGATCCGAGGTGGCGGATGGGAATGGATCGATGGCAATGGGCGAACTGGATGGGGATGGATCGTAGAACTGGTAGAATCACTGGTGGAACTTTAATTCTTTTCTTTGAAATCAAGATGGTCGCAGCATGTCCCAACTGGCCCAAGCATTGTTAGTTGGAAGATCTGCACATGTGAGCCCTGGCGATCTGCAACATCTCAACATTCCTCTATTGGCCGCGCCAGCTCAAGCAGCAACTCCACTGCATGCTGACAGTCCTGCGCATCAGCTGGCTGCAATTGCTGCTATACTTTGCGTATCTTGGAGTTCAAGTTTTTGAAAGTCTATGGCAGCCGGCAGCTGGCCAGAGGATTCAGATGCTTCCAGATGCTTCCAGATGCTTCCAGATGTTTCCAGATGAAGCCATTAATTGAATAGCATTAATTAAAACTAATTAAAACTGTCATCATCAGCCTCTCCTCTTCACTCACTGCCCGGGCACACAGCAACTGCTGAGCTTCCGCTAGTCGTTCCAGGGCTGCTGGGTCCTTCACGAATTGAGGAGCGACCCACAAGTATCAGCGGCATCCAGCGGAATGTGTGGGCATCACAGTGAATCAACAGACTGAAACTGCTTTCCTCCTCACCTTTTCCGTCTTGCGATTCCATTAGAATCACTGAATCAATATGTTTCTACGGTTGAAATCGGTTGAATCATGTTGAATCTCTTCAGAGATCAAACTCAAGCGACTTCGCGGCACTGGCTGTGAGGGTGGCATTACTATAAGAACTGTTGGGCCCTGAAAAGATGAACGCAAGAACAACATACCCAGCAAGCTAGCGCCTAAGCAATCCGCACAGCGGACAAAAAAAGTCAGTGACACTTGTGCCTAGGCACTTAACGGCATTGGGAATACCAGTTGATGCATCTTTGGCGACAGGCACTCCCTATGCCTTTTGCGCTCATCGGAGGCATTCAGCGCCCTGGATCGGCTCGGCGAACTCATCTGGTATTGGAAGGTCAGGGTCAAGCTCCAACATGTCCATTTTTGATTCCGAATCTTCCGGTAGAGCTGCTCCAGCGGTGCCTGTAGGCAAAACAGAGGCTCTGGAAATAGCTCTCTCTTGAATTCGCCACCTTTTCGAATTCATTGATGGTACCTGCAAGCCCGTGTTCAAGTCCATGAACTCGGTAAGAAGCAATTCAAGAGAGGTCTCCAGACGGCTCAGGTCGTGGTTGTTCATGCGGTCAAAAACTCGTTGCAAGGTCGCCTGAGAGACTTCCTCCTGCTGAAGGGCCCTGGCGATGGCCACCAGCATTTCCCCCAAATCCTGACCGCGACTTTCGAACACCCGCAAGATGGCAGAATCCTTTGCCTTCAGTCCATAAAATAGCTCCAGCACCAGTGCGATGGCCAAAAAGAACCACATAGTACACACTGTACAAACGAGCAGAACCAGCAAGGACTGACTATAGAATTCTGAAAAGCTGGAGACCTTTAAGTTTTTCAAGCCTGACAGTGCTGCAATCTGGATCAGCAAAATCGAAACGAAAAGGTCCATCCAGTTGAGGATGGGTGCTTTCCAAGGTCGAGCTGTTGCCTGAATCAATGCATAGCCTGTGAGGACCAGCACAATAAGACACACTTGCACGTCTACAAAATCGGTGGCACAGGTGACCACCAGGGACATCAAGGGGCCACGGAGAAGCAAGGGCAGTCCAAACCACCATTTATCCAGGCGAAAGCGATAGGTCAGGAAATTGAAACTTTGAACTCGCTCGCGCAACATCCTTGAACTCCACGATGGTAAGGCAAAGGTGGCATAGGTCACAATCGCCAAGAAGCCGATCACAAAGATCACAAGAAGGGACACGCCTGTCACCATCATGGTTACTTGCTCGCCTTCGCCACAAGTGACACTGGAGTACTTCACCAAACTGTAGGACCCGTTGGGATGAACGTAGCACATCATGCTCTCTAATGCTACTGTGGTCATGACTGCGAAACCAACCTGGATCAAATTGCCAATTGTGTTGGTAGTCTTGGTCCACTGCCACTGCAATCGTTGGGGCAGGAATCTCGAGAAGAAGAAATTCCCAATCATCCACAGAATCGCTAAAGGGAAGCACGACACTTTCATAATGTAGCGGAACGAAGCCTGTTCTGAGACGAAGCATGAGAAGGAGAAGGCATCCACATCGAGAAGGAAGACCTGCAAGGTGGTGAAATGGCCAGCAACGCTGGGGGGCCATGTAACGGTCATCATGCCAATAATTGCCACAGTTTGCAACCATTTAATGGCAAGGCCGACAGATATGCCCCCAGTCTGTCTGGCTGATGCGATGGCGTTGACTCTTGGGTTCGTGGTGTAGTAGGCACATGTGCATCCGCAAAGGGCCCAAATGACAACGAACCACCAAAAAAAGATCGTGGAATCGTTGCACGTGGTGCACTCGTTTCTGTACAAAGTCTCTCCTCACGCACCAAAAACGGCACCCTCCTATGAATTCCCCCCTACAGGAACAAGATGGCCTTTAAAAACCTATTTCAAGGAATCACGATGCTAAAGGATGCAAACATAGGGACAACGGCAGAGTTGAAGCAACAAAAACATTGTTCGTTTTGGGGTCACAGGTCCGGGAATGAGAAGGTCCAGGCCAAATTCAGACCGGTTAGTACTTCTGCCATGAAGAAATCAAGTGCGGGAATAATGTGGAACCGATGCAGTAAAAATTGATGACACTGTGGCATGCTATCAGCACAACGACTAGAAAATTATACATGGCAGGACAACGGGTGAAAGCGGACATAAAAATTGAATAGCAGCAGGTTGCAAAATCAGTTATATAAACACACTTTGAACATGCACGTGAAACATGTATGTTACAACAAGGTTTCTACATGTTTCCAAGCAGGGGAAATTGTAGTGGAGGAGATCTGGCAATAGCATGCAATAGTTTGTAATGTTGTATCCTGCTTAGTGTCTAGGTTTGCTATTGTGGCATTTTCCCAAATTATGCAGGCCCCCTGCAATGTTTGGAAGGTTCACTACTGTGGCAAGAAGTCTTGGCAGACCATTTTTTTTTGTCCAAAAGATGCTGTTGCCAAAAAAAAAAGAACATTTTTTCTGGAAAACAATCTTGCTTGTTTCCCTGTCCAGAAAGAATCAGACCCCTTGTTGAACCCTTATTGAAGAACAGTTTTTCCAGGCACTGGGCCATGAGAGGGCCCAGTTCACTTCAGTAGGTTGTTCTCAAGGTTCACAATTGCAGCAAACTTTTCCAGAGCTGATCCTGGAGCCAAGAGAAGAAAGAAACACATTTTACAGAAGCAATTGAAAAGTTCAAAGTCCAAGCCTTTCCCCCCAGAATCAGGCCGCTTATTAAACCCATATCAAAAACAGTTTTCCCACAAATTTCCAAGGCACTGGACCATGAGAGGGTCCAATTCACTTTAGCAGGTTTGTTCTCAGGGTTCACAATTGCAACAATTTTTCCAGAGCTGATCCTGGAGATTCCTGGAGTCAAGAGAAAAAAGAAAAACATTTTACAAAAGAAATTGAAAAGTTCAAAGCCCGAGCGGAGCGCATGAGAGAAGCAACTTTTGTGAAGCAATTCGAAAAGACATGTCGGGGCTTCTAGGCGTTCAGAAAGCGACGTTTGGCAGTCTGGGCTGCCGGCCGCGGGCCCGATCCGTCCCTCACTGCCATGGGTGCTGCGGCAGCGTCCTTGGACATAGGGTGGCAGTGCCGAACGGCAGGTAAAGGCAAGGTTTGCAGCTACCTTCTCGGCGTTCAGAAAGTGACGTTTGGCAGTCTGGGCTGCCGGCCGCGGGCCCGATCCGTACCTCACTGCCATGGTGTATTGGTGCTGCGGCAGCGTCCTTGAACCTACGGTGGCAGTGCCGGGCAGGTAAAGGCAAGGTTTGCAGCTAGCCTCTAGGCGTTCAGAAAGTGACGTTTGGCAGTCTGGGCTGCCGGCCGCGGGCCCGATCCGTCCCTCACTGCCATGGTGTTTTGGTGCTGCGGCAGCGTCCTTGAACCTAGGGTGGCAGTGCCGAATGGCAGCTAAAGGCAAGGTTTGCAGCTACTTTCTAGGCGTTCAGAAAGCGACGTTTGGCAGTCTGGGCTGCCGGCCGCGGGCCCGATCCGTCCCTCACTGCCATGGTGACCTAAGGGTGGCAGTGCCGAACGGCAGGTAAAGGCAAGGTTTGCAGCCAGTTTCTATCGCCCGCGGGCCCGATCCGTCCCTCACTGCCATGGTGTTTTGGTGCTGCGGCAGCGTCCTTGGACCTATAGGGTGGCAGTGCCGAACGGCAGGTAAAGGCAAGGTTTGCAGCTACTTTCTCGGCGTTCAGAAAGTGACGTTTGGCAGTCTGGGCTGCCGGGCGCGGGCCCGATCCGTCCCTCACTGCCATGGTGTTTTGGTGCTGCGGCAGCGTCCTTGGACATGAGGTGTGCCAGACGAACGCTTCCTGCAAGACGCAGCACGCAATTTGGAAGCTGGCAGCACCGAACGGCAGGTAAAGGCAAGGTTTGCAGCTACTTTCTCGGCGTTCAGAAAGCGACGTTTGGCAGTCTGGGCTGCCGGCCGCGGGCCCGATCCGTCCCTCACTGCCATGGTGTTTTGGTGCTGCGGCAGCGGCCTTGGACCTAGGGTGGCAGTGCCGAACGGCAGGTAAAGGCAAGGTTTGCAGCTACGTTCTCGGCGTTCAGAAAGTGACGTTTGGCAGTCTGGGCTGCCGGCCGCGGGCCCGATCCGTCCCTCACTTCCATGGTGTTTTGGTGCTGCCGCAGCGTCCTTGGACCTAGGGTGGCAGTGCCGAACGGCAGGTAAAGGCAAGGTTTGCAGCTACTTTATAGGTGTTCAGAAAGTGACCTTTGGCAGTCTGGGCTGCCGGCCGCGGGACCGATCCGTCCCTCACTGCCATGGTGTTTTGGTGCTGCGGCAGCGGCCTTGAACCTAGGGTGGCAGTGCCGAATGGCAGCTAAAGGCAAGGTTTGCAGCTACTTTCTAAGCGTTCAGAAAGCGACGTTTGGCAGTCTGGGCTGCCGGCCGCAGGCCCGATCCGTCCCTCACTGCCATGGTGTTTTGGTGCTGCGGCAGCGTCCTTGGACCTAGGGTGGCAGTGCCGAACGGCAGGTAAAGGCAAGGTTTGCAGCTACTTTCTAGGCGTTCAGAAAGTGACGTTTGGCAGTCTGGGCTGCCGGCCGCGGGCCCGATCCGGCCCTCACTGCCATGGTGCTTTGGTGCTGCGGCAGCGTCCTTGGACATGAGGTGCGCCACTACAAAAGCAAATTGCCAAGTTCAAAGCCCAAGCCTTTCCCACAAGAATCAGACCGTTTACTATTGAACCCTTGTTAAAGAACAGTTTTTCCTTTAGTAGTTTTGTCCTCAGGGTTCACAATTGCAGCATTGTTTTCCAGAGCTGATTCTGGAGCTAAGAGAAGAAAGAAAAACATTTTACAAAAGCAATTGCAAGTTCAAAGCCCAAACTCTTCCCAAAGAATCAGACCGCCTGTTAAACCCGTATTTAAAACCCGTTTTTCAAAAAAAACACAAGGCACTGGGCCATGAGAGATCCCAGTTCACTTTAGTAGGTTGTTCTCAAGGTTTACAATTGCAGCAAACTTTTCCAGAGCTGATCTTCCTCTACCTCTTCCCCTTCCCCTTCCTCTCTCTGTCTCTCTGTCTCTCTGTCTCTCTGTCTCTCTGTCTCTCTGTCTCTCCCTCTCTCCCCCTCTCCCCCTCTCCCTCTCCCTCTCTCTCTCTCTCCCTCTCTCTCTCTCTCTCTCCCTCGCTCTCTCTCTCTCTCTCTCTCTTCCTCTGCCTGTGTTTCTTCTTCTTCTTCTTCTTCCTCTTCTTCTTCTTCTTCTTCCTCGTCTTCTTCCTCTTCCTCTTCCTGTTTTTTGTTCTTCTTCTTCCTCGTCTTCTCTCTCTTCCTCTTCCTATTTTTTCTTCCTCTTCCTCTTCCTGTTTTTTCTTCCTCTTCCTCTTCCTGTTTTTCCTTCCTCTTCCTCTTCCTGTTCCTATTCCTCTTCCTCTCCCTCTCTGTCTGTGTCTCTGTGTCTCTCTCTCTCTCTCTCCCTTTCTCTTTTTCTTTCTCTTTCTCTTAGTACGTTTTTAATAAAAAGGTTGAAAGTGGAAAACGTAACGCAATCAACATGCTGAACCACTCACTACAAGTACTACAAGTACTACAAATATCACAAGTTCATCAGCAAAAAAAAGTTTTCATATGTTTTCATTAGATTTCAGTTGTCGCCAATTGAAATCCATGCTTAAATGCGGGATCGTAGTTTTTCCTGGGGAGGAGTTTTTTGACACCAAACTCTAAAGAGGGTATAGCAATTGTTTGAGGAGGGGGTACGAAACATCAAAAAGATACGGAATCCATCAAATGTTCGCTTGCACATTCAATGCCCAGTAATGAATTCGCTGTAAGCTCCTAAGTGCTGATTCCCAGGGCTCCTGGAGGACATACTGCGCAATTTTGTCCCACACGACCTCCACTGCAAACTTCGGGTGTTCCACCCGGGCAGAACCCCTCTTCGATGCACTTGAAGACCACCAAAGGGGCATTCATGGTGCTGTAGAAACCTGGATGCAAAGCTGGCTGGTAGTCTGGACCCAGTGGCGCTTGACCAGTCTTCAGTGATTGCACAGAAGAAGAGAAAGGACAAGACAAGCCCTTGCCCTCTTCGCATGGGGTGCATACCACCGCTTCACTTTCATTTGCGATGTTGATACGTCCAGCTTTACAGCCACACTCCAACAGGGCAGCAGACCCCAATCCAAGTGTTGTCGTGTCTGCGGGGCACTCCTTGCATTGACTGTTCCCCTGTGTATCTTGATATGTTCCTTGGTCACAGCGTTTGCAGCTTTTGCTGGCGGTCAAATCTTGATACTCTCCCTTTGGGCAGGGTTGGCAATCCAAGGAGGCACCAGAAGGCTGTGCCGTCCCGGGGGGGCAAGGCTTGCAGACGTGCGTCACGCCAGAGCTATCTTTGAGACGACTTGAATAGAACCCCGACTTGCAAGCTCGACAGGTCAAGCGGCTGGGATCTTCCCTATCTTCAACAAACTCTTTGGTTTTCTCATTGTAGAGACCAAACTGTGGATAACATTCTGTTGGATCAGGTAGCCACTGCTCCCAGATGGCCTTATTCGCTTTCAGCCATCTGCAAGCCACCACATCTGGTGTGTCACCAGAATCCATTTGATCCTTCATCAACTTGTTCACCAGGTTCAGATCCAAGCTGAAAGCGCTCAACAGCTCGTACACTGTGGGCGCTAAAGATTTCAAGTCAAAACTGGCATATTTATCCACAGAGATTGCTTCGAAGTCAGTTAGAAGAATTCCACGCCCTTGAGCTGCACGATCAAAGGGTTCAAAAAGCGTACGAACTGCATCAAGCGATAGAAAGGTAGGGTCAGGCTGCCACCAGTAGAAGGAAGATTTCACCTGAATATGGGTTGAAAATGGTCGAAATCTAGAAGAAACCCCTGCCGCTCACATCAAAATACGTTTGGAAAACGTTTATAGTTCTTAAAATGATGGAAACTGGAATTTACATGAATCAAATGGATGTTCATCCCCCATTCAAATATGAAAACTCGTAGGTGACCCCTCCAAAAACCTGGGTGGGCAATGTTGTGAAATCGCTCCAGAGCTTCGCTACCACGATCACCAGCGGGATGTTAAACATGGTGGATTTTTGCATCCAATGCTCGTATTCATAGCCCGGACCCGCATTGATGTATGGATAGCACGCCAAAGGGTCAGCGCGGCAGCTTGGCGCAAACCAGAAGTGTTCTGAGAAGCACCTGCCAACCAGCTTTCCCGAAGTGTTGTCAACGCCATCCCAGTCTCCAGTGACCCAAAGATAGTCCTCCAGTGTACTTTATTGATCTTTATTGGACTGGCAATCAAAAAAAGATGGCGCGGCCCAGGTCCGCTCTCGGCGGACCATGCTCATGTTATCTATACCGTCTATACCCATATTTTACTATATGTCACAGTACTTATTTCCCAGAATTAAGCAAAGGGAACATTTAAGAAGAAACCATGTTGTTTCTGTTATTTTCGCCGTTCTCTTTCACATGTTTCCGCAAAACCTAGATAGTCCTCCATGGCTTTGGTCTCCATCAAGCGGGTTTCGTTGCAGCGTTTGAGGCTCGTTGCCTTGAAGGCACTGATATTGTCAAAATATTTTGCAGGGTTTGACCAGGAAACATTGTGAGCACGGTAGAACTGCAAGGGTAAACCCTCTTGTGCATAGGCCGTCTCAATGACTTCTCGAGAGATGTATTGACCGGTCAAACCCTCAAACCCTGGTAGCCCATGCTTCCCACAATCTCCGCTGCAGTGTCAGGGTAGTCTTCTTGAAGCTGAGACCATTGAGCTCGGTAGCCATCTGTCCAGCCCTCCAAGTGGAGGTGGTAGTAGGTCTTTTTGCGGCCACACTTGCGGTCGGCGATCTCCGTAGGAGTCTCGCAGCCGGCCATCGCGAAGAATCCATCCAGGCTTGAGGATCCTCCACCCGTCACCGTCAGAAAACCCAACTTCTCAGCCACCAGAATTTCCATGACAGCTGAAGTCGCGACAGCTGCTGCCCAAGTGGGCACCCAAATTCCAACGGGATAACTTTCTCCATCACCAGTGGTGAGGTTGATCCGCTGGCTTTCAGGTATGCCATCAGAGAAGCAAAGGCCACCAGCTGCTGGTAGGAACTGCGTCTGCAAAAGCGCGATGCAACTCCAAATCACTGGCAGCCCTCGTTTCATGACCACATGAGGAGCAGGGGCCTCTTGAAAACTGCATAAAAATGCTACATCTCTGGAGCCAGAATTCGTGCGACTACTTGTCCAAGCCACGCGTTCTGGAGGTTGCCGAGGCTTTATCCATGTTTATGCATTCCAAAATGATGCTAGACCTTTGGATTTGAATAAAATTTTACCCTGTTTTTGGACACCTTCGTATTTAACCAAGGCATACCAAGGCGTCATCAAGTGTCAAGCTGTCTTTGTGATCTCAAACGTGAAAGAAAATCAAGAACTTAAAGTTGGCCTGGCCATGCCCGGCCTCTGGTCGAGGCAGTCGGTTGACTGGCTCCATGGGCAGAAAACGATGCTTTCACAAGATCAGTCCATGAGTCGAGAGTCAGCTATTGAGCGTCCGTGAGTCCGGACTTCATATATTTTTGCCTTCACATCTTTGATCCACTGATTTTCAGCGTTTGCCAAGGCTTGTAGCTTGATAGTCTGCGCACTTTCTTGACTTTGCTCTTCTTGGTGTAGTTTGCGCATGGCTTCCATGGTGCTCGCTCTTCATTCTGTTTACTCAAAAACAAAAATGCCCAGTAGAATTGAAAATTGCATTGCAACTGTCAAAACATGTCTGTCGGCACTCGGCTCTACTGGCGCTGATGTAAATTGAACATCATTGAACTAGATTAAATTGAACTGGATCACGCAGCTGGTTTTGATGACGGCAATACTTTTTCAATTGTCTCATGCCACCATTCTTGGCAAGCGACGAGGTGAAAAGAGAGCTTCTGACGTTCCCAGGTGATCTTGCGACCAGGCGACGTGTTTGAAATATATTATATACTGTAAAATATAATAGAAATTAATAGAATATATACATATATGTACTGGTTTGTATAATCTGTGTATATTCTACACTGGTTGAGGTGAAAACAACGTCCAAGGGCTCCAGCCACACATTTTCAAAATTGTCTCTACAAGGCACGACCAGGAACGTCAATATTTCAGTGAAACGTCACATCTGCTACCTTGATCTACCTTATCCTTGGATGCCAGAAACCAGCTTTCCTAGTCTGATGTTTCAGTGCCCAAAATGGATTTCTCTGGAAAGACCGCTGAATCCAGTGGTTCATCAAAACTCTCCCCCCCAAAAAAAGTGCCATTTTGCCAGGCATCCCAAATATCGTTGCTTATATCCCATCAATATCAGCAATGTTCCCATTTATAAATCATTATATCCCCACATATATCAGTATGTATGTTGTATATATATATACACATCTACATATGTCTACATATAATCAATATATATTAATCGCTATATATACTAATTATTTGTTATAACTATACCTAAATTATATCCACACCAGAATTTTCCCATGTTCAATGGTTGGTCGACACCAGCTTCACCGTACGGCGCTACTGAGATCCGTGGCGCAAGAGTAGGCACTTCCCAACGCCGACGCATTCTCGGCGCTGGCACTCAGAGGGGCTCCGGGCAGGCCGCTCAAGACCTGAAGGCGCTCCGTTTTTTTTTGAGAGGGAACGATATTTCCCCATGGGGCAAAATCGTGGAAGCCCATTCCATAGTTGCTATAGTTTAGGAAACAAAAATTGCTGGATATTTTGGGAGATTCCCCAAATTTTGAGACAAACGCATAAATCTCTTGCCAGGAATGATCTGCTGACGGATTTCAATTCAAAAATGAAATGATATGGGCATCTGTATAGCTGGAAGGAAGCAGAAATAACACAGGTTTGTCTGAAAACGGGGGGCAGCAGGAACCCCCTTGCCGCCTGATAGCCGGCTTTCTTTAAGCCACCACCTGTGAAGCAACGCAGAAATCCCCGAAGGCCCCGGCCAAAAAAAAAAACGAAAAACGTCACCGGACCTGACGGGATGGGTGTTGTGACGCCCGGCTTCGAGACGAAGTAGCTGGACCTCTGATGTTGATGCGAAATTGCGGTCTGTTGATGTCATTGTTCAAAGTTCTTGTTCAAGTTTACCGGGGTAAGGATGACTTTTTGATTCTATCTGATTCTACTTTTTTGACTCAGGCATTTCTTGAAATCCACAACAAACCCAAGGTCATGTGACAACTCGCTGTGTTGCAGCAGCATCGCATCGGATCGCTTCGGTCTCTGCGATCCTGACGCTGATGGATCTTCCTTGGACCGCTGCGAAGTTGCCTGGCGAGCTAGCGAGTCTGGCTTGAAGACTATGGAAACCCATATCTGACTGGCAAAGACACCACCAGAAGCCATGTTTTCACGTAGATGTTTCCCTTCAGTCATCTTAAAAGCATATATAATTTGAACATGTGAAATAAACACACAACTACATGAGGTTGAAGTTGCGAATTGGTGGAAGATCCACCATTTTCAGACACAGCCATGTACTGTTTGATGTTGCTTTCCGCATCCCGTTAGATATATATTCTGATATGTATGTATCATATATATTACATAACATTGTATCCCAGTCCCAATGATATCCCAAGAATATTCCCATTTGTTGTTGAGAGTTCTATAATATATATATATAATAAGATGGATGTATATATATATATGTATATGTCACTATAATGTGTTCATCATCCCTCTGGAAGTTTCCCCTCCATCCAGTCAGTATCGCCTCCTCAATCTCTGCTCCCAGAGAGCGTTTCACATTGAGAAAGGACTCCACCAGCATAGCATTGGCCTGGATGGCGGCAATCGAAGCTTCCAAGAGATAATCTTTTGAAAAGCAACGAGGTTTCAACATCTCAGATGCTCATGTATTGGATGTTGTTGAACTTGAAAATGGAACAGTTCCAATCTATTGTTTATATATGGTTCGTGCTGGTTCTATACGAATGTGAAAGCTGTTAACATAGCATTGTTTAACTGTACAAGCTAATCATACCAAACGTCAGACACAAGTGACCCCCTGGCACCACTTTGGGGTACCGTACCTCATCCACATCCGGATCGATCCCCTCGAGCCGCTCCAGCTCGCTCTTTGGATCCAGGCGAGTCTGTTCCACGGCCTCAATGATGGGAATATCATGGGAATATGATGGAATAGATGGTTCTATCATGGGAGGTATACACTATATATATAGGCTGTATGTATATATATATACATATTATATATATATACAAGCAAATAGCAAAAACATCTGTACATGATTTATCTGATATTCTATAGGTGTGTCTGAAGTTGGGTTATAAAGTTACCCCAAAATGGCGATTGTTGGGATTATGGTTAACACCAGTAGATTTTGAGGTTCCCTGTTCTCAGATCTTCAGACAGCTCCATCTGATGTTCCATGAAATCAGCGTCAACCAGCCGGACTTTTGGACCATATGTTTTGCGATGTTCCGGTGAAAATGATGTTGGAATACTGTTGTCAGTTCCACCAGTGCTGTGTTGGGGACCGTCCAGCGCTTTTCCAGCAAGGGCGTGAGTCGTTGCCTCCCCAGGATGGTAATGAGTTGAAGGGGAGAGACCGATGATAATCCATTGGGTCTAGAATGTCTAGAGAGATACCACCATGTTCATTTACCAAGCCCTTTGATTCCCTTCCCGTCCTTTGTGCATTGACCTATGCATGAGGCAACTGCATTGAGATTCAGGGGTCGGCCTTCCTGGTGCAAAAAAATGTGCCATTTTCTCAGCAACGCTTCTTCAATCAGCACTTCGCCAACATCAACAGCATAGTCAGCAGTTCACAACCTGGGCAGTGGTGCAATGCCATCAGCATCCGCTTCGGCACCTCGGTTGAAGCCAGAGAAAGGGGCCATTTGAGACAGGGGATCCCCTGGGCCAAGTTGTAGCCGGGATTTCTGGATGTCCATGCCCCAAAAAATGGTAGCTATTTAGATATTGATCCTAAAAAAAAGGGAACGATATATGTTTCCAAAATTGGTTCCCAGAATTCGTTGAAGCTAAACATGTAATGCACAGCAAATCCTTGAATGGGGATGGTCAAACTCTGGCGTCCTGTAAGTTATTCCCTCAACCCAGTGATTGGCAGCATAGATAGGGCTACCATCTGCGTCTAATGCTTTCGACAGCACTCACGTGAAACCTGCTGTAGATCCCCTAAGATGCCGAAAGTTCCTAAAGGATCGCTCTCCATAGCGCCGGACTCTGGAAAGGAACTGCACGGGAAGTGAGTTCTAGACAATGTCTGCTTGACACAACTTGGCACAGCCGACTCAACAGTACTTGGAGTACTTGGACCTTGCAGGCCACTTTGGAGCCATCAGCCGTCTCTCGACCTTGGCCCCTCTCTCTCTCTGCAAGGGCCGGCACGTTCCTCAGTGGCCGGCACCTTCTCATCCTCTAGCGACACGAGAAATGTGTGAGTCGCGTGTGTCTTGTTCCGGCAGTGGTCTGTGGGTTTTCGAGAGCATTCAGGATCTTTACACGTTTTCTCATTCTCTTCGGTGGGTTTTTCGATCTTATCGCGCATTCTTGAAGAGGCTTGAGACTCAAAGCATTTTGATTGGCTGATGTGTAACCTTCTTGACTTGTACCCCCCATCTTTGCAGCTCAAGACAAGGAGACCGATCCTGCCAGGATCTCCTGTGCTGTTGCAGCTATCTGCTCGCATCGTTCCTGTGCACACTCTCAGCCTCCTCCTTCAAGTCCTCCAAACATGTGGGCCCTGGAGGGGCAGTGGCATTGATTGAGCTTGTTTTGGTCAACTTTCTTGACCAGGCCCGTCCGAACGCTAATTCACTTCTGCAAGGCATCCTGCACTTTCTGGATTGCGCAGAGACTAGAGGGATCAGCTGTGACTGCCAACCTCATCAGAGTCTCAAACAAAAAAGGCAGAAATTCAGCATTGCTTGCAGCAGAAAGCCCTAAACTGCAGGCTATTGTGTTCCCCAAAAATAGATACAAAGGGAGTCCACTGGTTCATCACCGTCTACCCCCATATACCTCTGGTAACCTAACATCGTTTTCTCTACAGAAGAGACATGTAGTGCCTGCCAGAAGTGATCACGCAGGCAACGATTGGCTGGGTTGTCGCTCAAGAAAAAAAACAAACCTACCAAAACCTTCCAAAACCATCCAACACTACGGTTTTTGGTCTGTTTTGGTGGGAGCAGCCAATGGTTTTGGGCCTTCCCATTCACCCATTCTTCAAAAAAAGTCCCCAGGTCCGCGACTTTCTGCCTTGCATCCTGCCCTGAGTCCTGCTGAGTGGCCCGCTCATAGCCAGACTCATACAGCGAGGCCAAGGTCAGCAGGGCTGGGCTGTAGCCGAACCCCTCCTCCTGCACGATCCGAGGCGGCGGATGCGAATGGATGGCAATGGGCGAACTGGATGGGGATGGATCGTAGAACTGGTAGAATCACTGGTGGAACTTTAATTCTTTTCTTTGAAATCAAGATGGTCGCAGCATGTCCCAACTGGCCCAAGCATTGTTAGTTGGAAGATCTGCACATGTGAGCCCTGACAATCTGCAACATCTCAGCATTCCTCTATTGGCCGCGCCAGCTCAAGCAGCAACTCCACTGCATGCTGACAGTCCTGCGCATCAGCTGGCTGCAATTGCTGCTATACTTTGCGTATCTTGGAGTTTAAGTTTTTGATAGTCTATGGCAGTTGGCAGCTGGCCAGAGGATTCAGATGCTTCCAGATGCTTCCAGATGAAGCCATTATATAATTGAATAACATTAAAACTAATTAAAACTGTCATCATCGGCCTCTCCTCTTCACTCACTGCCCGGGCACACAGCAACTGCTGAGCTTCCGCTAGTCGTTCCAGGGCTGCTGGGTCCTTCGCGAATTGAGGAGCGACCCACAAGTATCAGCGGCATCCAGCGGAATGCGTGGGCATCACAGTGAATCAACAGACTGCAACTGCTTTCCTCCTCACCTTTTCTGTCTTGCGATTCCATTAGAATCGAATCAATATGTTTCTACGGTTGAAATCGGTTGAATCATGTTGAATCTCTTCAAAGATCAAACTCAAGCGACTTCGCGGCACTGGCTGTGAGGGTGGCATTACTATAAGAACTGTTGGGCCCTGAAAAGATGAACGCAAGAACAACACACCCAGCAAGCTAGTGCCTGGACAATCCGCACAGCGGACAAAAAAGTTAACGGCATTGGGAATACCAGTTGATGCATGATCGGCGCTTGAGAAAATGTTCAAACTGGATGACTGGCCAGATCCGTCAAATCCCAACAGGTGAAGGCTTAATCATGCTGAATACATGACGTAGCAGAGGTTTTACGTAGTTTTACCGTTTTACCTGATCCTTTCGCTTAAATACTCGATCCTTAGCACGCCATGATGCAGTCGCCTTTGGCGACAGGCACTCCCTATGCCTTCTACGCTCATCGGAGGCATTCAGCGTCCTGGATCGGCTTGTACTCATCTGGTACTGGAAGATCAGGGTCAAGCTCCAACATGATGTCCAACGTGTCAATTTTTGATTCCGAATCTTCCGGTAGAGCTGCTCCAACGGTGTCTGTAGCCAAAACAGAGGCTCTGCGAATAGCTCTCTCTTGAATTCGCCACCTTGTCGAATTCATTGATGGTACCTGCAAGCCCGTGTTCAAGCCCATGAACCCGGTAAGAAGCAATTCAAGAGAGGTCTCCAGACGGCTCAGGTCGTGGTTGTTCATGCGGTCAAAAACTCGTTGCAAGGTCGCCTGAGAGACTTCCTCCTTCTGAAGGCCCCTGGCGATGGCCAACAGCATTTCCCCCAAATCTTGACCGCGACTTTCGAACACCCGCAAGATAGCAGAATCCTTTGCCTTCAGTCCATAAAATAGCTCCAGCACCAGTGCGATGGCCAAAAAGAACCACATAGTACACACTATACAAATAAGCAGAACCAGCAAGGAGTGAGCATAATATTTTGAAGTGCGGGAGACGTGTAAGTTTCTCAAGCCTGACAGTGTTGCAATCTGGATCAGCAAAATCGAAACGAAAAGGTCCATCCAGTTGAGGATGGGTGCTTTCCAAGGTCGAGCTGTAGCCTGAATCAATGCATAGCCTGTGAGGATCAGCACAATAAGACACACTTGCGCCTCTACAAAATCGGTGGCACAGGTGACCACCAGGGACATCAAGGGGCCACGGAGAAGCAAGGGCAGTCCAAACCACCATTTATCCAGGCGAAAGCGATAAGTCAGGAAATTGAAACTTTGAACTCGCTCGCGCAACATCCTTGAACTCCACGAGGGTAAGGCAAAGGTGGCATAGGTCACAATCGCCAAGAAGCCGATCACAAAGATCACAAGAAGGGACACGCCTGCCACCATCATGGTTACTTGCTCGCCCTCGCCACAAGTGACGCTGGAGTACTTCACCAAACTGTAGGTCCCGTTGGGATGAACGTAGCACATCATGCTCTCTAATGCTACTGTGGTCATGACTGCGAAACCAACCTGGATCAAATTGCCAATTGTGTTGGCAGTCTTGGTCCACTGCCACTTCAATCGTTGGGGCAGGAATTTCGAGAAGAAGAAATTCCCAATTATCCACAGAATCGCTACAGGGAAGCACAACACTTTCACAATGTAGCGGAACGAAGCCTGTTCTGAGACGAAACATGAGAAGGAGAGGACATCCACATCGAGAATGAAGACCTGCAAGGTGGTGAAATGGCTAGCAACGCTGGAGGGCCATGTAACGGTAATCGTGCCAATAATTGCCACAGTTTGCAACCATTTAATGGCAAGGCCGACAGATATCCCCCCAGTCTGTCTGGCTGATGCAATGGCGTTGACGCTTGGGTTCGTGGTGTAGTAGGCACATGTGCATCCGCAAAGGGCCCAAATGACAACGAACCACCAAAAAAAGATCGTGGAGTTGTTGCACGTGGCGCACTCGTTTCCGTACAAAGTCTCTCCTCACGTACAAAAAAATGGCACCCTCCTATGAACCCCCCCCTACAGGAACAGTAACTAACAAGATGGACTTAAAAAACCTTATTCAAGGAATCACGATGCTAAAGGATGCAAAGATAGGGACAACGGCAGAGTTGAAGCAACAAAAACATTGTTCGTTTTGGGGTCACAGGTCCGGGAATGAGAAGGTCCAGGCCAAATTCAGACCGGTTAGTACTTCTGCCATGAAAAAATCAAGTGCGGGAATAATGTGGAACCGATGCAGTAAAATTTGATGACACTGTGGCATGCTATCAGCACAACAACTAGAAATTTATACATGGCAGGAAAACGGGTGAAAGCGGACATAAAAATTGAATAGCAACAGATTGCAAAATCAGTTATATAAACATATAATAACATATATACTTTGAACATGCACGTGAAACATGTATGTTACAACAAGGTTTCTACATGTTTCCAAGCAGAGGAAACTGTGGTGGAGGAGATCTGGCAATAGCTGGTAATGTTGTATCCTGATTAGCGTTTAGGTTCGCTATTGTGGCCATTTTTCCCTACATCTTTGTGTGACGTTCTTGTGTTTAGTTGTGCGCTTCCGCCTTCCTCCTCCTCTCGCCGGCCTCCTGCCCGCCCGCCGCACACAACTTGCTCACACACAACTTGACAAACACAACTTGTCCACACACAACTTGTCCTATCTTGTCCTCACGCAACTTGTCACCACACAACTTGCTCACACACAACTTGCTCACCACACACCTTGCTCACACACACACACTTTGTCACCACACAACTTGTCACCACACAACTTGTCCACACACAACTTGTCACCAAACTTTACTCACACACAACTTGTCCACACACAACTTCTCACCACACAACTTGCTCACACACACCTTGCTCACACACACGCACACTTTGTCACCACACAGCTTGTCACCACACAACTTGTCCACACACAACTTGTCCACACACAACGTGCTCACACACAACTTGTCACCAAACTTACTCACACACAACAACTTGTCCACACACAACTTGTCCTCACACAACTTGTCACCACACAACTTCCTCACACACAGCTTGTCACCACATGGCGACATCTGCCTTCACTTTGCATGGCAGGCGTGGCACTTGGCGACATCGACGTGCATTCTGCGTGGCAGCCGTGGCACTTGTGGCACTGGACTGGCTCTGGTGGCGCGCTTGGTTCCGAGTTGACGCCGTGGGCGCCGCGGCTGTTTGCGTGGCAGGCGTGACACTTGGCGACATCGACCTTCACTTTGCGTGGCAAGCGTGGCACTTGGCGACATCGACCGTCACTTTGCGTGGCAGGCGTGGAACTTGGTGACATGGACGTGCATTCTGCGTGGCAAGCGTGGCACTTATGGCACTGAGCTGGCTCTGGTATGGAAAATGTTATAGTCTGCAAATGCGCACAGGTATGGAAAATGTTCTCGAGCGGCACGTCTGTTGAACATGTTTCGATGTGTCTGCTGAAGCTGCCATTGATCATGATTGCCGCGCCGGAAACTCTTGCTTCGCCAGCTCACCAACGCCTCATGATTCACTGCACACTTTAGTTGTTCATGCGTGTTGTTGGTGTCTGACTTGCCTGACTTACCAGGTACCTCTGCGAGACTCGTTCGCCAACCTTCTACATTCGCCAAGCGCGGCAGCAGACCGTCCGCTCTCATGACAGTCTGCGCGCACTGCTTGGCGACCTTACACATGCTGCCAAGAGCGACCACTGAAATTCACCTATACTCATGGTGTTGGCATGCCGGTTTTGGCTACATGAAAATTGTTACGACTTTGCACAGCTTGCTACCCCTCCAGCCACCCATGCTTGGCACATTTTATCTACGTGAATGGAAAGCGTGAATAGCCTTGTCATATGTGGATAATCACCTCAGTGCAAAAACAAACACAAATATACAACAAAACCGCAACCCACTATTAAGGGTATATTATATGACCTTACTAGGTGTGCCACACTCCAAAGGCCATCTGGCCTGAGTGCCACCAAGGTCCAGCTCGTTGCATATCTGATGTTGTTTCCTGAGTGAGAGCGGGTGAAAACACATGCAATCTTCGACAAGGCAAATTAACTGGCCAGGACTTGAAACTACCTGATAAGGTAAGCAACGTGCTTAAATCAATTGCCAAGGGAATAAATGGTAACCATTTGGGGGGTGGGGCAATTGAGTGAATCGGGTTTGCTTGAAACAGGGCATCTTGAGCCCCAAATGACAACCAACCCGAAATCAAACTAAACTCATGCCACCACAGCTGTTCCAGTCTACAATTTTCACTACGCAAATGGTTTGCTTCACGAAAATTGTTACGACTTTGCACAGCTTGCTACCCCTCCAGCCACCCATGCTTGGCACATTTTATCTACGTGAATGGAAAGCGTGAATAGCCTTGTCATATGTGGATAATCACCTGTGCAAAAACAAACACAAATATACAACAAAACCGCAACCCACTATTAAGGGTATATTATATGACCTTACTAGGTGTGCCACACTCCAAAGGCCATCTGGCCTGAGTGCCACCAAGGTCCAGCTCGTTGCATATCTGATGTTGTTTCCTGAGTGAGAGCGGGTGAAAACACATGCAATCTTCGACAAGGCAAATTAACTGCCAACTTATTCACGCAATTCCTTTTCACACTTAATTTCAATTAATCAGCGCCGAAGACCCACTGTGGAATCTTTGGATGGCACTTTGCACAAATGGTGAAATCAGAGGGCAAGTCGTTTCTCTCCAAGACTGCCCGTGCGTCTCTGCCCGATGTGATCCATTTCCATCCGCATGAAGTGGTCCAATCCTTCGGACTATTTCGAAAGCAATTTCCAGAAGTCGAATGAAGCTTGCTGGTGTGGATGTTGTACACCACTTCAGGTCTTGACCAGCGGTCGAATGCTTCATAGACATGTTCACGCGTCAGTGCGATAGGAGTTCCCACTGTGCCTTCATTCAGTCTAGCATTGACCTTCTCCATTGACTCCTTTAAGTCGTTGCAATCCTTCAATGCCGAATTGATCAAACTTCTCAAATCCAAGTGATCCTGTAGGCGAGTAGAGATAGCCGGTGATTCCTCTGCAGCTTCTTCAACGTAGCCCAAAATAGCACTTGAACTGTGCCTAGCCATAAATTGGATGAGGTCAATGGAAATTCCCGACCGAGCCAGCATCTTGGCTCCTGTGCGCCGGAAAGAATGACCAGTGACTCTTTCCACACAAATTCGATGCTTCAAAGGAGGACGGTCATCCACCAACGACTGAGCATCGCCTTTCAGCGCTTCGATGACTGCCTCCTTCTTGATGGTTTCCCACGGTGACCCAATAGAGGCAACCAAGGGGATCTCCTCCGCTTTCGGCTCTGTCTGTTGCACACCAGTTCGGATGACCTGGTTTCTCACCAGCGACATCACTGCACAGAAAGGACACTTGAAGCATCTGTGAGAGTTACAGATGCAAGACAGCGTTCTCCTACAGCCACGACCAACCGGATCTGCTTTGGAAACCGGGAGATGAAGGGAAACCTGCTTCTTTCTAATGTCAATCAGGGTATCGGTTTGGCTGAGCCTCAACCCTGCCAATTCCGTCTCACGAAGAAGGAAAGAAATTGCCACCACCCAAGCTTCATGTCTGAGCTCAGGCCAGTTGGCCCTTCCTTCAATGAACTTTCCCTGAGTCCAAATATCCTGAAGTAATTCTTCCGGGATTTCTTCGGCCTTAACTGGCGGACCAAGACCTCTTGTACTTGCTCTCTTTGAGTCCTTGACACACAAATCAAGTTCAGCAGTCCATGTATGTCCGAGTCTGATGTGAAATTGTCTCGCTTCGCAGACATAGGAATAGACAGATCTAAACCCCGACGCCCTGAGTACTGCAGAAACTTTGACAATCTTTTCCGTGGACAAAGGAAACGCCTCCAAGCCAAGTTGATTGGAGATCAAACACCAAGTATTTCTCAACGCGTTCTTGGTGGCAGTGGTCTGAGGAGCATACATTGCGTCATTGAAAACTTCCAATGCCCTATTGGCATCCCTCTCATTTCCAGCAATGCGCAAAGCTTGTGACACTGACCCTTTTGATGCCCTACGTGGATCAGGTAACAAGGGGCCCTTTGGCCTGTGCCTCCTGGCAGCCTCGATCACCACTCCAGCTTCGGCATGCTCGACAGCAAAGCTACCCCCAGCTAAACGGCTTGAGCTAGAATGAGCACCTACCATGTCAACCACTCTGAGAACTTGAGATGCATTCACAGGATCGGCCTTCTCAGCAAATTTGGGTCCTAAAGAACTAGTTACTGGCACAAATATCCAGTCATTACTGGATGCCGGAGCCTCATTGTTGCCAGCGCTGAAACTCGTACCAGTTGCCAAAGAAGGGACATGTGAAGACAAAGCCGGTGTTTCAACTGAGGATGGTGTTCCAAGAGCACTGTTGCTCACACCATTCAACCCCAGCTCCTCACGAGCTCTCTTCACTCCCCTAGGCAAAAGCAAGGCAGAATTTATCAGCACATCTCTAGGCGTGCCAACTCGTGACCCATTGCGAGACCCACTTGAACCATGACGTGGCATGTTCGCACGCTGAAACATTGCGGATCAATTTTCACGCATGTGGCCAAGTCCTGAAAAGAGTTGCAACATCTGGGACTACGATTTCACGTGCACTTTTCAAACACTCAGGCAAAGGAATGCCTTCACAAAATCTGGAAAGAGCATCAGCAACCGTGTTGTGAATTCCCCTAATGTGCTTTCCCCACAGAGGTTCCCAGCCAGCGCATTCAATCCGAATTGCCATTTCGGCTGCCAATGAACTCATAAGTGGACTAGAAGCATGAAACTCGAGCGCTGCTCTCAAAGCAGCCGTGTTATCAGATTGTATAAACATTCTGACATGAGTTCTTTTCAAGAACTTCGAAAAAATGCAAATGGCAATGAAAATGGCAAGAAGCTCCCACTCAGTTTGAAACGCAGGATCACCTACTGTTGCACCTCCCCCCAAAGTTGTACAAAGAGGTTCATCAACAGGGAGTTTGAAATAAGCAACAGGTTTTCCCCCTATCTCCAGATATCCACCAAGACCACTAGGACATGCATCAGTGATAACACTGACTAATGGAACATCATGTTTAAATCTATAAACCTTTGACAGCGATACCACCGGTGAACCATCAAGAAAGGTACCCTTAGCTTCCAACAAACGATGCAGCCACAACACTGCGTGGTCTATCTGCCGTTTGAAAGCCAACCCTTTCCTCACCCTAGTGGTATCCCGCTTCGGCCCAGCAGCTGATTGAAGCTTTGCTGCATGAAGAGCCGACCAAAGCATTGCCGTCCAAGGCCTTGCAAGCGGGATGATGTTCGAGATCCAAGCCATGACCCCTGTGGTGGATTCTAAAAGTGAAATGGGGACTACGCCTTTACACTCACAAACCTCTCTAAGGGCATCAATGACCTTCTGAGTTTTATCTTCAGGCAATGATACTCTCAAAACGCGGTGACGGTTCCCTTCAAGCAGCATACGAACCCCTATCCAAGAGATGTCTATCCCTCGAGAGGCCTTATGCCAAGCCATGTTGAAACCCAAAACCGACCAAAGGAGAGAAGCCCTAAAGAAAACCCTGGTTCTTTCAACCCTGGAGGTGTGACATGCGATTAAAATGGGATCATCTACGTAACACTGGATGCGACAATCGTAACCTGTACAACATGCTTGTGCGAGTCTCATGGCAGAGCTGGCAAGCCTACCCCAAAGTAATGGTCCACATGCAAGTCCAAAACACGCAACGCATCACGTAGTAACGGCTGTCCAAGCCTTTGCAAACGACCCACTTTCTCTCCGAATCATGAAGCTTTAAAGTGTAGAAGGCATCCGAGAAATCACAAACAAAGAACTCCAACTGGTCATCCGGATTTGACGTTTTGAGGAGTTCATCACAAGATTTAGCAACATCCGGAATACGTGGGAGAACTACCCTTTCCAAAAGTGTCATGGTCCCATTTATCCCACTGCGTCTCATATCCACCACAAGTCTGACCTTTTCCTTTCCCTCCTTGTTCTTGATGATGCATGCTAACTGCGTCAATTTGGCATCTGTACCGACCATGGAAACGACTTGCTCCCACGTGTCGACACAGTCAGCTCTTCCATCAGTAACCAAACGATCCAGCTCTGATTGCGCCTTCTGACCAGCCTCATAAAAGCTTCTGTAGTTAAGTGCCTTTCCCGACCAGTCTTCCAACAATTGACCAATTGTCTGAGACGCCTTGATTGCAGCTGAAACATCGTCTGTAGCAGGGAAAATGTTTGTGTTCTCAATGGGCTGAGAAATCCCCAGTGGAACTCCATGCCTGAGCCATCCAGGCAAAACCTTTGCATCCTTGTCCTCGGCCTCTTGCAGCAAACTTTCCAACAGGTCAGTCTGATAGTCAGCTACAGAAACAAAGGTGCAAGAAACGTTGAATTCGGCAGCCATCTCGCGACGACATCTGTAAACCAGTTCTGCACCCATGCCAACGGCCTTCTCAAAGGAAAGCAAGTCTTGAACTGAGTAGCACCGATCTAGAACTGTTCTAATTCTTTCCCCTACCCTTCTCAACTTCAGGGAACGTGCAACTGCCCTGCGAGGGTCACGGAGGCCACCTATGGCCTGAAGGTTTTCTTCCTCTCGAACGGCCCTTTTGCTGAGCCGCTGTCTTGAAGACGAAGCATCCAAGGGTTCCATTTGAGTGACTGCCTTGTCCAGTCGTGATCCAACCATGTCCAGTCTTACCATCTGAAACGGGCTCACCTTGACCAGAGTTCTGCAAGCCATGAATTGGTAGCCCTCTTTGGATGTTAACCATCCCTTCAAAGCCAAAGCCCAAGCGTGACATAGTCCTTGAGGATACTCTGCAGCTTTGGAAGTTTTCCAAACCCACGTGTTGGTGATGGGATCCCATGTCTTGCCCTGAAGGCCACCTTCCATATGAGCATGAGGTCTGACTTGATGACATCGAGTGTTGATACTTGTCATCCATGCAGCATTTCCCAAAATTCCAGTGGGCTTCTGAGTGCGAGCACCAAAGGGGCATTGATCCAATCCCGAAAAGATAACTCCAACGACTCTCTTCAATCGCTGGATGAAAGAAACCAACCAAGCGTAGGAGTTCTCCGGGTTTTCCATCGAAAATGTTGAACCTTTGTCCAAAAGCAAGAAAGCTAAAATGATGGCTCTTTCCAAAATCAAATTTCCTTCCACTGCAAGCGGTGAACCCCATCCATCCGGCTTCTCCGAACTGCGAATGACAGGAACATCGCCATGTTGATCTGATCTTCGTGCCGTGGAAAAACTTCGACATGGAAATGCCAAATGAGCATGATCTGCTTTCGAAACAAGTTCCTTCGCCTGTGCAAAGCCATCGTCCGTAAGGATATCCCAACCCCCATGTTGATCTAAAGGTTCCAAAACATGAACCAATCCTCCACAAACCTCTGCAATCTCTCTGCTCAAACCGCCAAAACCTGCAAACAGCTCTACAAACACAAAGGGTCTCGGAGACACTGCATAGCCATCCTCCTTTACCTGAGCAGCATGTTGGATTTGATGAAACGATGCAAGAACAGAGGGCGTGCAAGTGTTCAGTGAGCTTCCAGAGGATGAGTCTGACTCCTCCGGATCTGATCAGTTTCGCTTTCCCGAGCCCTTTGCAGATTTCACGCTCTTCTTGTTTGGGCAGGCAGCATTGCAGTGATTTCCCAAACAGTATTGACAAACATGCGCACGGTGATCTGCACATGGCTCTGGGCATGTGCCAGGCTTGCCCTTGGCGTTCTTGAAACAAATCTCCACCCCATCTGCCGTGGTCACAAAAAGGTTTCCCCACTTGCGAGGATGCTCGGTGTCCTTCTTCTTGGTTTTGGCAGCAGGCGGCGATTCTGACGTTTCCTCCAAAGCTCTCTTCGGACCTTTGCCTTTCTTCGGGCTCTTCGGCTTCGGTGACTTTCCCAACTCCGGCTTCATCCCTTTCACATTGTCCAAGGCAGCTTGTGCTTCTTCTGGAATGTGAACACGCTCTGCCTTCTCGCTGGTCATGTGTCGGCCTCCTCTGGCAATGAAAATGGTAGATGGCTTCACCACTTGCTCGTCCCAGAACTCTGAATTTCTGGCGGCATAAGTGAAGACACCTATCCATGGTTGATTCGGGTCGAAGTCGAGGTTCATGGGAAGCCGGCCCTCTAATGCAGCCTTTGTCAATTGTCTTCTGTAACGTTCCAGCATTTCCGACCGACACTTGTCTTCGGCACGCATGATCAAATGCCAAGTCTCTGGAAAATCTGCAGCAAGCTTCACAATGCGCTCGAAGTACTCCTCCAACGATGCCGACGTCACAACCTTCTTTGGAGCCAACCCTGATGCAGTCGAAGGATAGCGAAGCATGAACAAAATGCTCCTGTACACTTTCCAACAACTCTTCCAGGCTTCCAGAGATGGTGGTCCCGGAACATCGAGTGCTCGAAACGAGCCATCTTGTTGAAAGACCCAGCTTCGAGTCTTGAGTTGCCGCTGCATGGTCTTGCCAAAAGGGGTCAAAATGCTGAAGTCTGCATAGGGTGCCTCTTGCCTGGTTATGGTTCTGTCCCTCATGGCAGCAATCTGTTCGACAGTGGGATCGCAATCGTGAGGTGGTTCTGCCCCTGTCTCCTCGATGTGGAACTGATAGGCCTGATTCAGCTCTTGACGAGTCATGGCAACAATCTCCGTGTCGTCCATTTGGTCTAGGACATTTGAAGCCTTCACCTTCTTGCCCGAGCTTGCTGAACTTGAAGGTGCAGTTACCACTGGACTTGGCTCTGCCAGCGGATCTACATCTGGAAGGTCTACAGCTCGACGGGCCACACGCCACATATAAGCCACCTGGATCACCTCCATTGCTGTTAGAGCACGCTCGGCGGTGGATGCTCTGGCGGGGATCCGCACAGCGTGCAAGGTGTGGCGCAAGGTTGATGCAGGCAACATACTGAAAAGGATGATCGATGCAACTCCTCCAAGGGCTGCATCCAGCACAGTCCACGTTGATGTGGCACAACCGCAGTAAATGCGAATCGCTTCTATGGTGGTCAAAGATGCAAGCTCGTCTTGAGTGGGCAATCCGGCCATCTACGTTGCTTTCAGTGCAGCAAAGGCACTGGGAGTCACCAGCAAGGTAGCTTGAGATGCACTGACTGGTCTGGAATTGCGATGCACCCACCACCAAGTGACTGAGACCCCACAAGCACAGCCCAAAAGCCAGAACACCAGCAACAAAAGCTCTAGCATGGCATGGCAATTGAGTGAATCGGGTTTGCTTGAAACAGGGCATCTTGAGCCCCAAATGACAACCAACCCGAAATCAAACTAAACTCATGCCACCACAGCTGTTCCAGTCTACAATTTTCACTACGCAAATGGTTTGCTTCACACATACATGCATAGATGCAAAGATGCATAGATGCATAGGTGCATAGATGCATAGAAGCATACATGCATACATGCATGCATACATACATACATACATACGTGCATACATACATCCATGCATCCATGCATCCATGCATCCATGCATCCATGCATCCATGCATCCATGCATACATACATACATGCATACATACATACATTACATTACATGACATTACATTGCATTGCATTACATTACATTACATTGCATTACATTACATTACATTACATACATGCATGCATACATACATGCATGCATACATACATTCATACATACATGCATACATACATACATACATACATACATACATACACACATACACACATACACACATACACACATACATACTTTCATACATACATACATTCATACATACATACATACATACATACCATCTTTGTCACACACCACCTGTCCTTGTCACACACCATCTTTACATACAACTTTGTCCCACACAACTGTTTTTACTTCTCGATCCTTCACCACCTCCTTTGATTTTCCTTCCTTCCCCGTCCCGCTACAACATTTGTTGCTCATTATTGGAAGAAATTGACATTTGGGGTTATCCGTTCCTTTAATTTCCAAATTATGCAGGCCCACTGCAATGTTTGGAAGGTTCACTATTGCGACTTCTTGCCGTCGTCCGAAAACATGTTGGGGAGAAAAAACCTGAACACTTTGTCTGGAAAACAATCTTGCTTGTTTCCCTGTCCAGAAAGAATCAGACCGCTTAAAACCTTATTAAAGAACAGTTTTTCCAGGCACTGGGCCATCAGAGGGTCCAATTCGCTTTAGTAGAATGTTCTCAGGGTTCACAATTGCAGCAAACTTTTCCAGAGCTGATCCTGGAGCCAAGAAAAGAAAAAAACAATACAAAAGCAATTGAAAAGTTCAAAGCCCAAGTTTTTCCCAAAGGATCAGACCGCTTTTTAAACCCTTATTAAGGAGCAGTTCTTCCACAAATTTCCGAGGGACTGGGCATGCGAGGGCCCGTTCACTTTAGCAGGTTTGTTCTCAGCGTTCACAATCGCAGCGTTTTTTTCCCGAGCTGATCCTGGAGCTAAGAGAAGACAGAAAAACATTGTACAAAAGCAATTGCCAAGTTCAAAGTCCAAGCCTTTCCCAAAAGAATCAGACCGCGTATTAAACCCTTATTAAAGAACAGTTTTCCCAAATTAAAGGACCGGATAACCCCACATGTCAACTTCTTCCAATAAGCCGCCAAAGAAAGGTGAAGATGGGATGGGAAAGCTAGGAAAGAGAAAAGAGATGGTGGAGGATCGCATGCAAGAAATTTATGCCGAAGGGAGGTGCATGAAAGAGTTCCGTGTAAAAGTGTTGTTGGTGAAAGAAGTGTGTGTAAGGGCGTGGTGTAAAGGCCTGTGCCACGCAAAGTGAAGGTCCATGTTGCCAAGTGCCACGCCGCGGCAACCAAGGCGTCCACTGGGAACCAAGCGCGCCACCAGAGCCAGCCCCGTGCTGTAAGTGCCATGCTTGCCACGCAAAGTGGAGGTCGATGTCGACAAGCGCCACGCCTACTACGCAAAATGGAATCTGCCACGCCAACAGCCTTGGTTAGGACGGCGTCCACTAGGAAACAAGCGGAACACGAGATGCATGCAGCCCAGTGCCATAAGTGCCACAACTGCCACGTAAAGTGAAGGTCCATGTCTCGAAGTGCCACGCCACGGCGTTCACTGGGAACCAAGCGCGCCACTGCCACGCAAAGTGGAACCAAGATGAACCAAGCACGCCACGAGATGATGCCACGCCTGCCACGCAAAGTGAACGTCTATGTCGCCAAGTGCCGCGCCTTCCACGCAAAGCGGAGGTCGATGCCGATGTCGCCAAGTGCCACGCCTGCCTTGCAAAGTGGAGGTCTATGTCGCCAAGTGCCACGCCTGCCACGCCAACAGCCGCAGCGACCACGGCGTCCACTGGGAAACCTGGGAACCAAGCGCGCCACCAGAGCCAGCCCAGTGACGTAAGCGCCACGTCTGCGTAATAAAGTGGAAGTCGATATCGCCGTGCCACGCCTGCCACGCAAAGTGGAGGTCGATGTCACCAAGTGCCACGCCTGCCACGCCGACAGCCTCAGCGACCATGGCGTCCACTGGAAACCAACCACGCCACCAGAGCCAGACCAGTGCCGTAAGTGCCACGTCTGCCAAGCAAAGTGAAGGTACATGTCTCGAAGTGCCTCGCCTGCCACGCAAAGTGGAGGTCGATGTCGCCAAATGCCACACCTGCGAGGCAAAGTGGAGGTCGATGTCACCAAAAGCCTCCGTGACCACGGCGTCCACTGCGAACCAAGCGCGCCACCAGATGCATCCCAGTGCCATGAGGGCCCCGCCTGCCACACAAAGGAGGTCGCTGTCGCCAAGTGCCACGCCTGCCACGCAAATTGAAGCTCCATGTCGCCAAGTGCCACGCCTGCCAGTGAGTGTGTGGACAAGTTGGGTGTGATTAAGTCGTGTGTGGACAAGTTGTGTGTGAGCAAGTTGTGTGTGTGAGCAAGCTGTGTGTTTGTGTGCGTGTGAGAGAGTAAGTTGTGTGTGGACAAGGTGTGTGTGTGTGGACAAGTTGTGTGTGTGTTTGCAAGTTGTGTGAGAACAAGCTGTGTGGGGACAAGTTGTGTGTGAGCAAGTTGTGTGTGAGTAAGTTGTGTGTGGACAAGTTGTGTGTGTGTGTGAGTAAGTTGTGTGTGGACAAGTTCTGTGTGAGCAAGCTGTGTGTGAGCAAGCTGTGTGTGGGCAAGTTGTGTGTGAGTAAGTTGTGTGTGTGTGTGGGCAAGTTGTGTGTGACAGGTTGGGTGTGGACAAGTTGTGTGTGAGCAAGTTGTGTGTGAGTAAGCTGTGTTTGGACAAGTTGTGTGTGAGCAAGTTGTGTGTGAGCAAGCTGTGTGGGGGCAAGTGTGTGTGTGTGTGTGAGTAAGTTGTGTGTGGACAAGTACAGTAAGTTGTGTGTGAGCAAGCTGTGTGTGTGAGCAAGTTGTGTGTGGACAAGTTGGGTGTGATGAGGAGGCAGGCGCCGGGAGGAGGCAGGCGGGAGTGCATCACCAAAAACAAGAACCCCACACGAAGATGTGGGGAAAAATTCCAAGGCACTGGGCCATGAGAGGGTCCAGTTCACCTTCCTCTTCCTCTTCCTGTCTCTCCCTCTCTCTCTCTCTATTTCTCTTTCTCTCTTTCCCTTTCTCTTTTTCTTTCTCTTTCTCTTATTACACTTTCAATAGAAAAGGAAACGCAATCAACATGCTGAACCCCACTCACTACAAGTATACTACAAGTACTACAAGTACTACAAATATCACAAGTTCATCGGCAAAAACAAGTGTTCATTAGATTTCAATTGTCGCCAATTGAAATCCTTACTTAAATTTGGGATCGTATTTTTTCTTGGAGGAGTTGTTTGACACCAAACTGTAAAGAGGGTATAGCAATTGTTTGAGGAGGGGGTATGAAACATCAAAAAGATACGAAATCCATCAAATGTTCGCTTGCACATACAATGCCCAGTAATGAATTCGCTGTAAGCTCCTAAGTGCTGATTCCCAGGGCTCCTGGAGGACATACTGCGCAATTTTGTCCCACACGACCTCCTCTGCAAACTTCGGGTATTCCACCCGGGCAGAACCCCTCCTCGATGCACTTGAAGACCACCAAAGGGGCATTCATGGTGCTGTGGAAACCTGGATGCAAAGCTGGCTGGTAGTCTGGACCCAGTGGCGCTTGACCAGTCTTCAGTGATTGCACAGAAGAAGAGAAAGGACAAGACAAGCCCTCTTCGCATGGGGTGCATACCACCGCTTCACTTTCATTTGCGATGTTGATACGTCCAGCTTTACAGCCACACTCCATGAGGGCAGCAGATCCCAATCCAAGTGTTGTTGTGTCTGCGGGGCACTCCTTGCATTGACTGTTCCCCTGTGTATCTTGATATGTTCCTTGGTCACAGCGTTTGCAGCTTTTGCTGGCGGTCAAATCTTGATACTCTCCCTTTTGGCAGGGTTGGCAATTTAAGGAGGCAGCAGAAGGCTGCGCCGTCCCGGTAGGGCAAGGCTTGCAGACGTGCGTCACGCCAGAGCCATCTTTGAGACGACTTGAATAGAACCCTGAATTGCAAGCTCGACAGGTCAAGCGGCTGGGATCTTCCCTATCTTCAACAAACTCTTCGGTTTTCTCATTGTAGAGACCAAACTGTGGATAACATTCTGTTGGATCAGGTAGCCACCGCTCCGAGATGGCCTTATTTGCTTTCAGCCATCTGCAAGCCACCACATCTGGTGTGTCACCAGAATCCATTTGATCCGTCATCAACTCGTTCACCAGGTTCAGGTCCAAGCTGAAAGCGCTCAACAGCTCGTACACTGTGGGCGCTAAAGATTTCAAGTCAAAACTGGCATATTTATCCACAGAGGTTGCTTCGAAGCCAGTTAGAAGAATTCCACGCCCTTGAGCTGCACGATCAAAGGGTTCAAAAACCGTACGAACTGCATCAAGCGATAGAAAGGTAGGGTCAGGCTGCCACCAGTAGAAGGAAGATTTCACCTGAATATGGGTTTAAAATGGTTTTAAATGGTCGAAATCTATAAGAACCCCCTGCCGCTCACATCAAAATACGTTTAGAAACATTAGAAACCGTTTATAGTTCTTAAATGATGGGAAATGGAATTTATGGTAAATGAATCAAATGGATGTTCATCCCCCCATTCAAATATGAAAACTCATAGGTGACCCCTCCAAAAACCTGGGTGGGCAATGTTGTGAAATCGCTCCAGAGCTTCGCTACCACGATCACCAGCGGGATGTTAAACATGGTGGATCTTTGCATCCAATGCTCGTATTCATAGCCTGGACCGGCATTGATGTATGGATAGCACGCCAAAGGGTCAGCGCGGCAGCTTGGCGCAAACCAGAAGTGTTCTGAGAAGCACCTGCCAACCAGCTTTCCCGAAGTGTTGTCAACGCCATCCCAGTCTCCAGTGACCCAAAGATAGTCCTCCAGTGTTCTTTATTGATCTTTATTGGACTGGCCATCAAAAGACGATGGCGCGGCCCAGGTCCGCTCTCAGCGGACCATGCTCATGTTACCGTATGGACCCATATTTTACTAATTATATGTCACAGTACACATTTCCCAGAATTAAGCAAGGGGAACATTTAAGAAGAAACCATGCTGTTTCTGTCATTTTCGCCGTTCTCTTTCACATGTTTCCGCAAAACCAAGATAGTCCTCCATGGCTTTGGTCTCCATCAAGCGGGTTTCGTTGCAGCGTTTGAGGCTCGTTGCATTGAAGGCACTGATATTGTCAAAATATTTTGCAGGGTTTGACCAGGAAACATTGTGAGCACGGTAGAACTGCAAGGGTAAACCCTCTTGTGCATAGGCCGTCTCAATGATTTCTCGAGAGATGTATTGACCGCTCAAACCGTGGTAGCCCATGCTGCCCACAATCTCCACTGCAGTGTCAGGGTAGTCTTCTTGAAGCCGAGACCACTGAGCTCGATAGCTATCTGTCCAGCCCTCCAAGTGGAGGTGGTAGTAGGTCTTTTTGCGGCCACACTTGCGGTCGGCGATCTCCGTGGGAGCCTCGCAGCCGGCCATCGCGAAGAATCCATCCAGGCTTGAGGATCCTCCACCCGTCACCGTCAGAAAACCCAACTTCTCAGCCACCAGAATTTCCATGACAGCTGAAGTCGCGACAGCTGCTGCCCAAGTGGGCACCCAAATTCCAACGGGATAACTTTCTCCATCATCATTCGTAAGGTTGATCCGCTGGCTTTCAGGTATGCCATCAGAGAAGCAAAGGCCACTAGCTGCTGGTAGGAACTGCGTCTGCAAAAGCGCGATGCAACTCCAAATCACTGGCAGCCCTCGTTTCATGAGCACATGAGGAGCGGGGCCTCTTGAAAACTGCATAAAAATGCTACATCTCTGGAGCCAGAATTCGTGCGACTACTTGTCCAAACCACACGTTCTGGAGGTTGCCAAATGGCTTTATCCATGTTTATCCACTCCAAAATCATGCTATACCTCTGGATTTGGATAAATGTTTACCCTGTTTTTGGACACCTTTGTATTTAACCAAGGCATACCAAGGCGTCATCAAGTGTCAAGCTGTCTTTGTGATCTCAAACGTGAACGAACATCAAGAACTTAAAGTTGGCCTGGCCATGCCCGGCCTCTGGTCGAGGCAGTCGGTTGACTGGCTCCATGGGCAGAAAACGATGCTTTCACAAGATCAGTCCATGAGTCGAGAGTCAGCTATTGAGCGTCCGTGAGTCCGGACTTCATATATTTTTGCCTTCACATCTCTGATCCACTGATTTTCAGCGTTTGCCAAGGCTTGTAGCTTGATAGTCTGCGGACTTTCTTGACTTTGCTCTTCTTGGTGTAGTTTGCGCATGGCTTCCATGGTGCTCGCTCCCCATTCTGTTTACTCAAAACCAAAAATGCCCAGTAGAATTGAAAATTGCATTGCAATTGTCAAAACATGTCTGTCGGCACTCGGCTCTACTGGCGCTGATGTAAATTGAACATCATGGAACTAGATTAAATTGAACTGGATCACGCAGCTGGTTTTGATGACGGCAATTCTTTTTCAATTGTCTCATGCCACCATTTTTGGCGAGCGATGAGGTGAAAATAGAGTTTCTGACATTCCCACTTGATCTTGCGACCAGGCGACGTGTTTGAAATATATTATATACTGTAAAATATAATAGAAATTAATAATATATACATATATGTACTGGTTTGTATAACCTGTGTATATTCTACACTGGTTGAGGTGAAAACAACTTCCAATGTCTCCAGCCACACATTTTCAAAATTGTCTCTACGAGGCACGATCAGGAACGTCAATATTTCAGTGAAACATCACATCTGCTACCTTGATCTACCTTGGATATCCTTGGGTGCCAGAAACCAGTTTTCCTAGTCTGTGGTTTCATTGCCCAAAATGGGTTTCTCTGGAAAGACCACTGAATCCAGTGGTTGATCAAAACTCACCCGAAGAAAAAAATGCCATTTGCCGGGCATCCCAAATATCCGTGCTTATATCCCATCAATATCAGCCATGTTCCCATTTATAAATCATTAAATCCCCACATATACCAGTAGTACTGCACAAGGCGGTGGCGGAAGTTCCAAAAATAGGAAACCTATAGGAGAGGTTGGTTGTTGTGAATCACGGATGGCAGAGCGAATCCACTGATGGACCGAAAGGTGGTTGGAGCTGTGCTTTTTGGAGTGGCTGCAATGGTTGCAGCGGTCACCTCACTCACAACTCCTGGATGTAGTGTGGTGTAGCGCATTAGTTGTAGCTGTAGCTGTCGTTGTAGTTGTAGTTGTAGTTGTGGTGTTGAAGTTGTTGAAGTTGTAATGTTGTAGCTGTGGTTGTAGTTGTAGTCGTAGTTGTAGTGTAGTTGAAGTTGTACTTGTCTTAATTGTAGCAATTATAGTAATGGTGTAGTGCAGTATTTGTAGTTGTAGTTGTAGGTGTAGTTGTAGTTGTAGTTGTAGTGTAGTGGAGTGGTAGTTGTAAGTTGTAGTTGCAATGTAGTGTAATTAGTGTAGTGTAGTTGCAGTTGTAGTTGTGGTGTGGTGTAATTAGTGTAGTGTAGTTGCAGTTGTAGTTGTGGTGTGGTGTAATTAGTGTAGTGTATTGTAGTGTGCTGTAGTGTACTACAATGTAAACTAGTGTAGTTGTAGTTGTAGCGTAATGTAAAGTAATTAGTGTAGCGTAGTGTTGTGTAATGTAGTGCAGTTCTGGTTGCATTTGTATTTGTAGCTGTAATGTTATGTAATTAGTGTATTGTAGTGTAATGTAGTGTAGCTGCAATTGTGATTGTAATTGTAGTTGTAGCTGTGGTGGTGGTGGTGGTGGTGGTGGTGGTGGTGGTCGTGGTGGTCGTGGTGGTCGTGGTGGTCGTGGTGTTGGTGGTGGTGGCGGCAGTAGTAGTAGTAGTAGTAGTAGTAGTAGCAGGAGTAGTAGTAGTAGTGGGAGTACTAGTCGTAGTAGTCGTAGTGGTAGTAGTAGTAGTAGTCGTCGTCGTCGTAGTCGTAGTAGTAGTAGTAGTAGGAGTAGTAGGAGTAGTAGTAGTAGTAGTAGTTGTAGCAGGAGTAGGAGTAGGAGTAGGAGTAGTAGTAGTAGTAGTAGTAGTACTAGTAGTAGTAGTAGTGGTAGTAGTAGTAGTAGTAGCAGCAGCAGTACTAGTAGTAGTAGCAGCAGTAGTAGTTGTAGTTGTTGTTGTTGGTTGTTGGTTGTTGGTTGTTGGTTGTTGGTTGTTGGTTGTTGGTTGTTGGCTGTTGGTTGTTGGCTGTTGGCTGTTGGCTGTTGGCTGTTGGTTGTGGTTGTGGTTGTGGTTGTGGTTGTTGTTGTTGTTGTTGTTGTTGTCCTTGTCCTTGTCCTTGTCGTTGTCGTTGTGGTTGTTGTTGTTGTTGTTGGTGGTGGTGGTGGTTGGTGCTTGGTGCTTGGTGGTTGGTGGTTGGTGGTTGGTGGTTGGTGGTTGGTGGTTGGTGGTTGGTGGTTGGTGGTTGTTGGTTGTTGGTTGTTGGTTGTTGGTTGTTGGTTGTTGGTTGTTGGTTGTTGTTGTTTTTGTTGTTGTTGTTGTTGTCGTTGTTGTTGTTGTAGTAGCTGTTGTTGTTGTTGTGGTTGTTGTTGTTGTTGTTGGTTGTTGGTTGTTATTGGTTGTTGGTTGTTGGTTGTTGGTTGTTGGCTGTTGGTTGTTGATTGTTGGTTGTTGGTTGTTGGTTGTTGGTTGTTGGTTGTTGGTTGTTGGTTGTTGGTTGTTGGTTGTTGGTTGTTGGTTGTTGGTTGTTGGTTGTTGTTGTTGTTGTGCAATTGGCGTAGTGTAGTGTAATCAGATGTACTTAGATGTAACTAGATGTAATTAGCGTCGTGTAATGCAATTAGTGTTGTGTAATGTAGCGTAGTACATTTGTACTTGTAGTTGTAGTAGTAGTGTAGTGTAGCGGTACTTGTAGTTGTAGTTGGAGTTGTAGTTGTCTGTCTATCTATCAATCTATATGTCTTAATCCAAACGTTGGTCTCTTTGTCTGTTGGAGACACACGTCATTGACCATTCTTCATGTAACTAAATCCTGGGGGAGGCTGGGGTATGCAAACTGTCGCCGTGGGTATATATATATACTATACCATGGTTCTTCAAAGGCCAAAGCATACAGTTCGCGACGTATCCCTGAATAGCCCCCAGAAAGTCGTTTGATGTCGTTTGCTTCCCCCGTATAGTTACATGCCACCAGGGTATCCCCAGGGTATAGTTCCATAGAGGGTGGGCAATGAGTAACCCCCCAGGAAGCGCATTGATTTGTTACATACCTTTTTTGGGTGAGGCAAATCAATGTGAAAAGTGCACAATGTCTGTTGGGGACCCGCACCGTTGACCGCACTCTGTGTAAACACCCCCTGGGGGCTAGGGGTAAAAAGCGGGCGCCCAGAGGGTATGTGAGAAGATGCGCTCAGATGAACCAAAATTCCGGGGGGCAACTTGGAGCGTGCGACATAGCGTGGGGGAAGGGGCACATAGCCTAACGCTTTTCCAACCAAAAAGGAATGTATCAATATCCGGCCGCAAGCCAATGTGTCCGCAACGCTGCACGGAAAGTCTGTATCATCTACGGCCCTGAAAATGAATAGCAAAAAACGAGGCAAGGTTCATGAATCAAATGACAAAAAACATCTTTCAAACTGACCCAACGCCGTAAGCACAAAACTGCTCATTACAGTGGGAGGTGATTGGGGGTATCTGGCTGTATAGTGCACATATGCAAGAAGGTAATCCGTCGTCCTACGTGTATTGCATACCCTGCTGTAATAATTTCATAGGGGAGTGTGTACGGTAATTTTGCGCACTCTCTGGGCAAACAATCCCACGACAAACCTATACGTGTTAGGGATCTATATAATTCATGGCGGGGACACGGAAAAAACGGGAACAGGCGCCCGGAGTTTCATCTCATCAACGTCTTGTCAAAAGAATGGCATACAAGAGCAAGGTTAGCTGGATGATAGAAATATTGCGGAAATCGCATAGAATTTTGTCTGGAGCACTTGCCCAATGGGATATGCTTGCAAACCGTCTGCCGTCACATTTGAATATGCGGGCATATGACATCACAAAGCCAGGCAGCAACCAAGCAAGCGTGCAATACAATTACATGCGCAATGTGCTGATTCCAATTTAAAATAAAATATAGTTACATATACATATCATGCATAATAACATGTCTAGCACAAAAACATTGACTCTAAGAAATTCTGCGCAGCTCTCCAAGCCAATGAAATATGCGTACTTTAGCCATGCAAGCTGGCTGAATTCAATGAGGAAGTGCGCATATATGCAGACCACATCAATGTGGCCTGCAGGCAAGGCAAATCACCATCAAACAAATTAGCCGAATATTATTTATATATATATGTATATCAAGGCACAATCGCAATAACAATAGCATGGGCACTTGTCCCACCGACTTTCGTTTCTCCGGGAGAAAAGCACGACAGAACCATTCAACCCGCTGGAACCCTAATCAAAATCCCCGACTATACGCACATGTTTACATGCATATCATACCTGCATTAGCGCAAGCGCAAGTAATTTCAGCGTGCTCGGTATGAAAACAATGTTTCGCTGTAGCGTTTGTGGCATCCGTCCCGTGAAAACATTTGAGTTTCCATCCGTCAGCCAAAGTGTCGTTTCTCTCGTTATCACACCATTGATAAGAATCTAGCACGTTCCAAATCAAAAATCCTTTGCATACATACGCATTGCTCCCGCAAAGACCCTGTTTTTGCAACCAAAACATACAGAAGCCCAAAAAGTACTCTGCGAATGTGACCCCCTGTCCGTTCAAGAAATGGTCTGTCTCTTCTACTCTTGGTTCTATAACGTTACAGTTGGCTGAAGGCAGTAATCAAGTCTGCCAGTCGTTGTGGCAAATAAAGTACCAAAAAAAAACATGTAAATGCTACGCGTGCTGGTTCTATTCTTAAATATGCAAAGAATAATCCCCGAGTTTGTTACATCCATTCTGGCTGAATCCATCAATGGCGCCAGTCATATACGTCAATTTGAACAGAACAAATCCAATTTACAGCACATGTACCTACTTGATACATGTTACATGTATGGATGATGTACAACGCATTTACGGTAAAAATAGATCCACCAGATTGGTCATATTCGTGAATAACTTGAATTTGTTACATGCGTTTCAGCTGAATCCGTTAGGGGGTCAAAACATATGTATATTTCAACAGCAAATTCAAGGGAAAATCACACAAAGTTGACAAGCACTGGGCAAAAACCATGTTTTGCCACCGGGTCAAAACCGTACGTGTAGCCGTGCTCATTTCAGGAAGTTGGGCTGGGGTGGGGTGGGGATAATACCAACCGTGTCTATGGCTACGCTACATGATCTTCACTTGCACTTCATGCGACGCTACTTGATTTTCACTTGCACTTTCATGATCTTCGCTTGCACTTCATGCTACGCTACTTGATTTTCACTTGCACTTTCATTGATGGGGTGGGGTGGGGTGGGGATAATACCAACCGCGTCTATGGCTACGCTACATGATCTTCACTTGCACTTCATGCTACGCTACTTGATTTTCGCTAGTGCTGGGGAATTCCAACGCACAGAAAGATTTCAAACAGAGCCTTGAGTGTTCACACAGGCACCATTGACAGCTCCTGGAAGCAAATGAAAACTCATATGCCAAAGTCCCTCAGACTCTCAGTCAAAACAGATACCTTTGCGTATCCGCAGTTGGCAATGGAGATTCACACTTGCTGAGCATGATAACTTGTTTCAACTGTGTGGCACTCAAGTGGCCAAGTTGTAGGCAAGACAAGTCAGCGAGTAAAAAACACACGCCGCTGTGGAAATAGGCACATCGGCTCTCAGAGATGCATCCGTGGAGGTAACGGCATTTTGACAAAATTTCCTTGCCGCTGAGGTAAAAAACACAAAAAAAACGAAAACACAACCAGGATTATACATATTGCATCATCGTCAGAGGCAGAATCATTGGTAAATCCCAGTGTTGGTCATAAGTGCCGAGAAGTGACTTGCTAACGCCTACACGTTCCATTACCGACCCGGCGGGATGTTTTGTTACATAGGTGTTTGCCAAGTTTAGTGGAGGGGGCGGTCGCATACCTCAATTTCAACAGAAACCACCTAATAAAGAGGCCAATAATTGAATTAATATATGTCTATCTGCAAGCTTGAAAACGAAGCTGTTCTGCGAGACTTCCTCAATTTTTGAGCTTGACAACATCAAAAACGAAACAATACTGCGAGACTTCCTCGTTTTTCGAAGTTGACAACATCAAAAACGAAACAATTTTGCGAGACTTCCTTCAAAAGTGGAAAGTGAGTGCAGAGCTGATGGCCTCTTACCAATGCGTTTTGCAAGTACCGCGCCTGCCAAGAAAAAGTGAGGCCAGGTCATACGAAGTGCTGCAAACATGTCTCTTGTACTGCGCCTGCCACGAAAAAATCATCTTGGCAGATCCTCTTCAAATGTCCCACGCCTGCCATCGTTTTTGGAAATGCTACAAAACCCTCACGTTTTGCTCACTTTTGACAAGGTGCACAATCCCTTGCACCTGCCACGCGAAATGACATCTGAACCTCCAAAAGCGGTCCGAGCGCCGAGCATGTTGTGCTTTTAACATTTTGACTTCGACATGTGCTTCGCGCCACAACGGCATGCACTTTTTCGACATCTCAACTGCCAAAAGTGGTCCGGACCTGGTGTGTTTTGTACATGTTTACTTCGAAATGTGCTTCGCGCCACAACGGCGTGCACTTTTTCGACATCTCAACTTCCAAAGGTGGTCCGAACCTGGAATGCTTTGTGCATTTTGACTTGGAAATGTGCTTCGCGCCACTACAGCGTGCACTTTTTCATCTCTCATCTGGCCAGATGGCTCCGCGCCCGCCGCTTTAGCGAGCCTACTTTTCGACCCTCCGGAGCCCAGGAGCCACAAATCATTGGAAAAACACAATGTTTCGCGACTTTCCTACCTTTTCGCGCACCTTCTCTTCCCTGACTCTTCTCTTCCCTGACTCTTCCCATCTCTGCTTTTCATCTGTCCATATTGTCGGAAGTTTGACTTCTAAACTTCCTTCGATCAGTATGTGTATATATATATATACAGTGTATGTGTATATATTGCAGTGTATGTGTATATATTGCTATATACACACATACATCTACATGTATCTACGTATAATTAGTATATATTGCTATATACACACTGTTTGTTATAATTATACCTAAATTATATCCACATCAGAATTTTCCAATGTTCAATGGTTGGTCGACAACAGCTTCACCGTACGGCGCTACTACTGAGATCCGTGGCGCAAGAGTAAGCACTCCCCAACGCCGACGCATTCCCGGCGCTGGCACTCAGAGGGGCTCCGGGCAGGCCGCTCAAGACCTGAAGGCGCTCCGTTTTTTTTTAGAGGGAACGATATTTCCCATGGGGCAAAATTGTGGAAGCCCATTCCATAGTTGCTATAGTTTAGGAAACAAAATTGCTGGGTATTTTAAGAAATTCCCCAAATTTTGAGACAAACGCATAAATCTCTTGCCAGGAATGATCTGCTGACGGATTTCAATTCACAAATGAAATGATATGGGCATCTGTATAGCTGGAAGGAAGCAGAAATTGCACAGGTTTGTCTGAAAACGGGGGGGAACCCCCCCTGCCGCCTGATAGCCGGCTTTCTTTAAGCCACCACCTGTGAAGCAACGCAGAAATCCCCGAAGGCTCCAGCAAAAAAAAAAAACGAAAAACGTCACCGGACCTGACGGGATGGGTGTCGTGACGCCCGGCTTCGAGACGAAGTAGCTGGACCTCTGATGTTGATGCGAAATTGCGGTCTGTTGATGTCATTGTTCAAAGTTCTTGTTCAAGTTTACCGGGGTAAGGATGACTTTTTGATTCTATCTGATTCTACTTTTTTGACTCAGACATTTCTTGAAATCCACAACAAACCCAAGGTCATGTGACAACTTTCTGTGTTGCAGCAGCATCGCATCGGATCGTTTCGGTCTCTGCGATCCTGACGCTGATGGATCTTCCTTGGACCGCTGCGAAGTTGCCTGGCGAGCTAGCGAGTCTGGATTGAAAACTATGGAAACCCATGTCTGACTGGCAAAGACACCACCAGAAGCCATGTTTTCACGTAGATGTTTCCCTTCAGTCATCTTAAAATAATTTGAACATGTGAAATAAACACATAACTACATGAGGTTGAAGTTCCGAATTGGTGGAAGATCCACCATTTTCAGACACAACCATGTACTGTTAGATGTTGTTTTCCGTATCCCGTTAAATATATATTCTCATATGTATGTATCATATATATATATATAACATTGTATCCCAGTCCCAATGATATCCCAAGAATATTCCCATTTGTTGTTGAGAGTTCTATAATATATATATAATATGGATGTGTATATATATATATGTATTTATATGTCACTTTAATGTGTTCATCATCCCTCTGGAAGTTCCCCCTCCATCCAGTCAGCATCGCCTCCTCAATCTCTGCTCCCAGAGAGCGTTTCACATTGAGAAAGGACTCCACCAGCATAGCATTGGCCTGGATGGCGGCAATCGAAGCTTCCAAGAGATAATCTTTTGAAAAGCAACGAGGTTTCAACATCTCAGATGCTCATGTATTGGATGTTGTTGAACTTGAAAATGGAACAACTAAAATCTATTGTTTATATATGGTTCATTATGGTTCTATATGAATGTGAAAGCTGTTAGCGTAGCATTGTTTAACTGTACAAGCTAATCATACCAAACGTCGGACACCAGTGACCCCCTGGCACCACTTTGGGGTACCGTACCTCATCCACATCCGGATCGATCCGCTCGAGCCGCTCCAGCTCGCTCTTTGGAGCCAGACGAGTCTGTTCCACGGCCTCGATGATGGGAATATCATGGGAATATTATGGAATAGATGTTTCTATCATGGGAATACATATATATATATATATTATATATATATATACACCAGTAGTACCGCACAAGGCGGTGGCGGAAGTTTCAAAAATAGGAAACCTATAGGAGAGCTTGGTTGTTGTGAATCCGGGATGGCAGAGAGAAGCCACTGATGGACTGAAAGGTGCTTGATCTCTCTCACTCTTTCTCTCTCTTTCTCTGACTATCTACCTACCTACCTACCTATCTATTTTCTATGTATCTATCTATCTATCGATCTTTCTAGTGTAGTGTAATGTAATGTAGTGTAATTTAGTGTAGCGGTGTGTAGTGGAGTGTAGTGGAGTGTAGTGGTGTAGTTCTGTAGTTGTAGTTGTAGTGTTGTGGAGTGTAGTGTAGTGTACTGTAGTGTGTGGAGTGTATAGTGTAGTGTAGTGGAGTGTATAGTGTAGTGTAATGTAGTGTAGTGTAGTGGAGTGTAATGTGGCGTAGTGTATTGTAATTTAAATAATGTAGTGGAGTGTAGTGGAGTGTAGTTGTGTAGTTCTGTAGTTGTAGTTGTAGTGTTGTGGAGTGGAGTGTAGTGTAGTGTCATGTACTGTAGTGTAGTGGAGTGTATAGAGTAGTGTAATGACCCGAAGCGAAGCGAAGCGACATCTGAACCTCCAAAAGTGGTCCGAACCCCTAGTGTTTTGTACATGTTGACTTCGAAATGTGCTTCGCGCCACAACGGCGTGCACTTTTTCGAGATCTGAACCTCCAAAAGTGGCGCGAACATGTGGTGCTTTGTACATTTTGACTTGGAAATGTGCTTCGCGCCATAACGGTGTACACTTTTTCGACATCTCAACTTCCAAAAGTGGTCCGACACTGGTGTGTTTTGTACATTTTGACTTCCAAATGTGCTTCGCGCCACAACGGCGTGCACTTTTTCGACATCTCAACTGCCAAAAGTGGTCCGAAGCTGGTGTGTTTTGTACATTTTGACTTCGAAATGTGCTTCGCGCCACAACGGCGTGCACTTTTTCGACATCTCAACTTCCAAATGTGGTCCGAACCTGGTGTGTTTTGTACATTTTGACTTCCAAATGTGCTTCGCGCCACAACGGAGTGCAAATTTTTCATCTCTCATCTGGCCAGCTGGCTCCGCACCCGCCGCTTTAGCGAGCCTACTTTTCGACCCTCCGGAGCCCCAAATCATTGGAAAAACACAGTGTTTCGCGACTTTCCTACCTTTTCGTGCATCTGCATCTTCTTTCTTCTTACTCTTTCTCTTCTACTCTTCTTTCTTCTAATCTTTCTCTTCTCTCTGCCTCTTCCCTGCTCTGCTTTTCATCTGTCCATATTGTCGGAAGTTTGACTTCTAAACTTCCTTCGATAATATATACTCTACATAGACTATGTCTATATATATATATATATACACGTATATATATATATATATATATACAAGCAAATATGTTTTTTTTAAAAAAAAAACATGTACATGATTTAAATATCTGATATTCTAGAGGTGTGTCTGAAATTGGGGTATAAAATTACCCCAAAATGGCGATTGTTGGGATTATGGTTAACACCAGTGGATTTTGAGGTACCCTGTTTTCAGAATTTTCAGACAACTCCATCTGATGTTCCATGAAATCAGCGTCAACCAGCCGGACTTTTGGACCATATGTTTTGCAATGTTCCAGTGAAAATGATGTTGGAATACTGCTGTCAATTCCACCATTGCTTTGTTGGGGACCGTCCAGCGCTTTTCCAGCAAGGGCGTGAGTCGTTGCCTCCCCAGGATGGTAATGAGTTGAATGGGAGAGAACGATGATAATCCATTGGGTCTAGAGGGATACCACCACGTTCATTTACCAAACCCTTTGGTTCCCTTTCCGTCCTTTGTGCATTGGCCTATGCACGAAGCAATTATATACATTGAGATTCAGGGGCCTCCTTCCTGGTGCAAAAAAGGGCAATTTCTCAGCAACGCTTCTTCAATCAGCACTTCGCCAACATCAACAGCATAGTCAGCAGTTCGCAACCTGGGCAGTGGTGCAATGCCATCAGCATCCGCTTCGGCACCTCGGTTGAAGCCAGAGAAAGGGGCCATTTGAGACAGGGGATCCCCTCGGCCAAGTTGTAGCCGGGATTTCTGGATGTCCATGCCCCCAAAAATGGTAGGTATATAGATATTGATCCATAGAAAAAATATGCTTTTCCAAAATTGATTCCCAGAGTTCGTTCAAGCTAACCATGCACAGCTTGAGCATTGTATAGAAGCGCGCTGCAAAAGAAATTGAAGGGCTCGAATCCAAGGTGGGCTACATATTTTCAGCCATACCAAGCACATAGTACTTTAAGAATTTGGGGGACCCTGGAATAGGATTGCCAAATTCTTGAATTACTGCTTACACGTGAGGTTTGCAATTCCCCTTTGCGGTTCATTTTTTTTTTGTGGAGTGACCCTGGGATGAAATCGGGTTTTGCAGAAAAACAATTTTTCAAACTCCGAAAATTGTTTTTTCGCGCGTGCTTGGGCACCTAAGCCCTGTGGGATGAAATCGGGCCTTGCAACAACTCTGACAAGTTGCGTGCGCGGTGTGATTGTGAAAGGCAGACTACAGGAAACCAAGAAAACTACATATTGGCAGACCCTTTTAGATGCCCAAAGCAAATGCCGCCCGGGATTCGAACCTCAGACCTTCAAGCGTGAAGTCTGATGCTCTGACCATTGTGCTACAAAACCCCTGCCTTCAGGTAATTTTGCCTTCTCATTCCCTCTCTTTGCCCTTCGGATTCTTAACCAACTCTCGGGCTGTAATGCATAGCAAATCCTTGAACGTGGATGGTCAAACTCCGGCATCCTGTAGGTTATGCCTTGAATCAACCCAATGATTGGCAGCATAGATAGGGCCAACATCTGCGCCTAATGCTTTCGACAGCACTCACGTGAAACCTGCTGTACATCCCCTAAGATTCCAAACGTTCCTAAAGCATCACCCTCCATAGCGCCGGGCTCTGGAAAGGAACTGCACGGGAAGTGAGTTCTAGACATTGTCTGGCACAACTTGGCACAGCCGACTCAGTACTTGAACAGTACTTGGACCTTGCAGGCCACTCTTGGAGCAGCCGTCTCTTCTCGACCTTGGCCCCTCCCTCTCTGCAAGGGCCGGCACGTTCCTCAGTGGCACCTTCTCATCCTCTGGCGACAGGAGAAAATGTGTGAGTCGCGTGAGTCTTGTTCCAGCAGTGGCCTGTGAATTTTCGAGCGCTTTCAAGATCTTTGCATGTTTTCGCATCCTCTTCGGTGGGTTTTTCGATCTTATCGCATATCTGTGAAGAGGCTTGGGACTCAAAGCATTTCATGATTGGCTGATTTGTAACCTTCTTGACTTGTACTCCTCCATCTTTGCAACCCAAGACAAGGAGACCGATCCTGCCAGGATCTCCCATGCTGTTGCAGCTGTCTGCTCGCATCGTTCCAAGTCCTCCAAAAATGTGGACCCTGGAGGGGCAGTGGCATTGGTTGAGCTTGTTTTGGTCAACTGTCTTCACCGGGCCCGTCTGAACGCTAATTAACTTCTGCAAGGCATCCTGCACTTTCTGGATTGCGCAGAGACTAAAGGGATCAGCTGAGACTGCCAACCTCATCAGGGTCTCAAACAAAAAATGCAGAATTTCAGCATTGCTTGCAGCAGAAAGCCCTAAATTGCAGGCTATCGGGTCCCCCAAAAAATAAATATAGAGAGAGAGAGATATATATATATATAGAGAGAGAGAGAGAATCCAATGGTTCATCACCGTCTTCCCCCATATACCCTCTGGTAACCTAACATCGGTATGGGAAAAAAATGACAGTTTAGTTCGATGATTTACCTATTGAAAAGCGATAAAAAAAATGTGATGTTCCAGCTCGCTACTACCAGGGTAAGTCCCATTCAATAACAATCCCATCTACTCCCATGAAAATCCCCATGACCAAAAGGTAAACGGCCCCAAAAAATGCTGAGGCTCCCAGCCACCCTCGGACACCTGGTCATTGCCGAGGCTGTCAAGATCAGATATGGCAAAGAAATCCACAGCTGGTGACTGGTGGTGAATATGGATGTACATAGTAATAATAATAATAACAATAATAATAATAACAATAATAATAATATATATATATACAATATGTATGTATATATAAGATATACATATATATATATATGTGTGTGTGTGGGACATGTATATATATATGTATATATATATATATATATCATGGCGTATCGCATGTTATATCATATACCATATATCACATGTCACATGTCATATATCACATATATCATATACAGTATACAATACATCATACATCATATATCATATGTCACACTCTATACAGCAATTGTTTATGTCATTTCTTTGGTATGCATACATATAGAAAATATACATATATAACTTTGTAATTGGTTTATGTCTACATCAGTTACACCCTAGAAACCACGAAATGGAATCAAACATGTCTCACATGTTCTTTACAGAAACTCATGTTGGCTTGGTCTCAAAATGGGAAAAACTACCCAACTTACGGCCACGCAGAATCATCCAAATAGAAAATGATGTTTTCAACCGCCCTGGGAGTTTGATGGAAACTCCGCTGGCGCACCTGCTTGGATCGCGATCGCCACGATGGTGTCGTCGCATGTGATATAACTGGGCGTGTGGGATAGATTTGAAGCCATGGAACATCCTTGATACATTGATGGGTCTCTAGGAATTGTGTCTCTGGAAGGTTGCAAAATCGTTTGATACTGCTTAATCTCCTGTCTCTAGCAGATTTGGGAAATCTAAATCCCAATTGGGGCGCTGAAAAAACCCTATTCTGGCTGTACACAAGTGGCAAATACCTCAGAAATGACACTTTTGAAATGATGATAAACCATAGTAATACCCTTGATTTTGGTAAGCACCCTATTTTTGAACAAACCAGAATGCCATCAAATGATGATGTATATATATATACACATACGTATATACATCACAAATACAGATATAGATGGTTATATATATATACATATAACTACATATATAGGTTGTATCATATTTAGATCCATGTATATCCCAAATCCTGAACTTATTAAACTTCCACTGGGGCATGGGTATTGTTTACCCATTGAATGGCAACTCCTCGCAGAACGAAACACCATCGCCACGTCGCCTGACGGAGCGGGAACCGCCCCCAATCGCGGCCGGCCAGTGGAGCCAGAACCTGAACGGTGCTGTTGACCAAGAGGCTGGCTCTGTGTTGCTTGTGGTTGATTTTGTGATTAATGCTGGTTGATGGTGCTTAATGGTGGTTAATGCTAGCTAACTAATGGACATGTATTTTACAAGCAAGAATGGACGTGTTCATCGAGAACAATTAGAGGATCAACCATACTTGACCACAAAATTCAGCATGTTTTACCATTAACCATTACCCATTAACCATTATCAACCATAGTCAACCACCATTAACCACCATTCACCATGATTTATCATACACTAGTAACCACTTTCATTACCCATATCATTGTCAATATTCGAAGGAAGTTTAGAAGTCAAACTTCCGACAATATTCAGATGAAAAGCAGAGGTGGGAAGAGCCAGAGAAGAGGCGAGAAGAGAAGAGAAGAGAAGAGAAGAAGAAAGAAGATCAATAAGGAGAAAGACTCAGAAGAAAGAAGATCCAGGTGCGCGAAAAGGTAGGAAAGTCGCGAAACACTGTGTTTTTCCAATGATTTGTGGCGCCGGAGGGTCGAAGAGTAGGCTGGCTAAAGCGGCGGGTGCGGAGCCAGCTAGCCAGATGAGAGATGAAAAATTGCACACCGTTGTGGCGCGAAGCACATGTCGAAGTCAAAATGTACAAAACACACCAGGTCCGGACCACTTTTGGACGTTGAGATGTCGAAAAAGTGCACGCCATTGTGGCGCGAAGCACATGTCGAAATAGAAATGTACAAAACACACCAGGTCCGGACCACTTTGGGAAGTTGAGATGTCGAAGAAGTACACGCCGTTGTGGCACGAAGCACATTTCGAAGTCAAAATGTTAAAAACACCACATGCTCGGACCACTTTTGGAGGCTCAGATGTCGGCAGGCGCACGGGATTATGCACCTTGTCAAAAGCGAGCAAAACGTGAGTGTTTTGTAGCATTTCCAAAAACGATGGCAGGCGTGGCATTTGAAGAGGATCTGCAAAGATGCATTTTCCGTGGCAGGCGCAGTAGAGACATGTTCATCAGAGCTGTTAGGAGGTGAGGGCGTTGATTTCCTGAGAGGGGGTGCATTCTGGAGCATCAGATCTTCAGGTTTGCTGAGATGATTTTGCGTTACAGGTGCAGCACTTCGTATGACCTGGCATCACTTTTCGTGGCAGGCGCAATACTTTAGACAGGTGGAGTGGAAAAATCGCAAAACGCATTGGTACGAGGCTGTCAGCTCTGCACTCAACTTTCCATTTTTGAAGGAAGTCTCGCAGAATTGCTTTGTTTTTGATGTTGTCAAGTTCAAAAATTGAAGAGCTCTCGCAGAATTGCTTCGTTTTTGACGTTGTCAAGTTCAAAAATTGAGGAAGTCTCGCTGAATAGCTGCGTTTTTGATGTTGTCAAGTTCAAAAACTGAGGAAGTCTCGCAGAATAGCTTCGTTTTCAAGCTTGCAGATAGACAGGTAGACAGACAGACACAGACAGACACAGACAGACACAGACAGACACAGACAGACACAGACAGACACAGACAGACACAGACAGACACAGACAGACACAGACAGACAGACAGACAGACACAGACAGACAGACAGACAGACAGAGACAGAGATAGATAGATAGATAGGTAGGTAGGTAGATAGAGATAGATAGATAGATAGATAGATAGATAGATAGAAAGATAGATAGATAGATAGATAGGCAGATAGATAGATAGATGGATGGATGGATGGATAGATGGATAGACAACTACAACTACAACGGCCACTACACTACACTCCTCTACACTACTGCTACAACTACAAATACAAATATACTACGCTACATTGCACTACACTACACCAATTGCACTAAGAACTACTACCACAACTACAACTACAATTACAACTGCACTACACTACACTAATGACACTGCAGCACACTACAACTACAAATACAACTACAACTACAACCACACTACATTACACAACACTACGCTACACTGATTACATTGCATTACTTACACTACAATTAGAACTGCAGCTGCAACTGCAACTACAGCCACCACTACATTACAATACACTACACTAAACTACGCTACACTACACTCCACTACACTACACTAATGACATTGCACTACACTACAACTACAACTACAACTACACTACCTTACGCTAGGCTACACTACACTATACCACACTACGCAACACTACACGATATTACAGTGCACTACACGACACTATTACACCACACCACGACTACAACTGCAAATGCACTTGCAAATTCACTAATTACACTACATTACATCTACAGCTCCACTACACTACACTACAACTACAGCTACACCTACGTACAACTACAACTGCACTACACCACGCTACATCCAGAAGTTGTGGTGAGGTGACCACTGCAACCATTGCAGCCACTCCAGAAAACACAACTCCAACCACCTTTCGGTCCATCGCTCTGCCATCCGCGAGTCACAACAACCAACCTCTCCTATAGGTTTCCTATTTTTGAAACTTCCGCCACAGCCATGTGGGGTACTACTGGTATCACTACCACTAGCATTGTCACCACTACACCACTGACACCATTCACCACGTGATTGACCACTATAAACCACTACAAACCATTGTTAACAACAATTACTAACAACAATTAACTTTCCCGTATATCATATCATTAAACCACTATTTTTGCACTATTAACCACTAATAATCCCTGTTGACAACCCTTGTGTTTCCCCACGTGAAGCGTGCCAGGATCGCTGCGCGCTTTGTTGGATACTTGGCTCGCTGCCACCAAGGCCGCCAGTTCCGCCTGCTCCTCAAATGACAAGAGGCCAAAGCAAATGAGAACTGTCAATGGTTAATGGTGTTTAATGGTGGTTAGTAGATGTTATATAACAGATGTTAATAGAATTTGACAGATCTTAACAGAGATCTTAAGAGATCTTAATAGTGGTTTATCATCCTTAATAGTGGTTAATCATTGGTTAAGAATGATTGGTCATGGCTTGCCAAATGTCTCTGGAACAGCAAATGGATGTTCATCCTTCTGACAGTGGCACTGGAATCCCGCCCCAACCACAAAGCGTAGTACATGGAGTAACAGCCCAAGTGGATGTATACAGTACCGCAATTTCCTACACATGACGAGGTTATGACCAAGTTCTCATGGTTATACAGAACTCATGGGTGTGTCTGAAAATGGGGTATGATGATAAACAATGATAAACCATGATAGACCGTGATAGACCACTGGAATTGGGGGGTACCCTATTTTCAGACAAACCCAGATATGACCGCATGACAAACAAACTTTCCTCCAGGCATCACAGGCCCAAGACCAATCCTCCTGAGACTCTCTTTGTTGCCGATGCCGTGCAGCCAGGGCCAGGTGTTTGGCCAGGGCCTGGCAAAAGAACGATGAAGAGAAGTTCTCCAAGCAGGTGGCACGCCAAAAAAACAAAAAATGCAAGTGACGTCGCAGCTGTTAGCATGTTGGGTATGATAATTTTCTGCATTCCAGGTCCAGGGAGCTGCATCCTCATCCTCATCAGCCTCAGCCTCGCCTCAACCTCCTGTTTCGCTGGCTTCGGCCGTAGTGGGGGCCCAGGTGGTCCTAGGATCGGCTCAAAACCCACCGCCCTGGCGGCCCTGGACCCTGCCCAGCAGCGCCTCGTGCTTTGGGAGGGGGTAATGCCACAGCGGCCTAGCAGAGATTGACACACCAAGGTCATAGGCCAAAAAAATAAGAAAAGAGTGATTTTACATTACTTTCCTGAGGAAAACTTCTGGCTAAGGATTCGGTGAATATGTCCAAATCGATCCAAAGCGACAGTACTCAACCATCTGCACCTGCAGAGTTTGCTCCCTTTCTCCCTGCACACGTGCTGAAAAAGCCTGGGCCTCATGGCATGGCTGCGGCCCAAATCTATTAACTGTGAATAGTGGATGAGGTGAATACTGAACATTGAGCATGACTGACATCAATTTTAACAGGCCTACTAACACCAATTTTGTGGGCTCATCTGTCCATTATGTCCATTCCTCCGTTTTTGCCTGTCTGCCCCAATTTTCCCTGCTTTACATGCCATGAGCATGAGAACCTATCATTTGCTGACCACAGGCTGATAACTCCCCATTGGGCTGCATCCTGCACTGAGTTCAGGGCAGGCGAAGTGCGTGATGTGCCGTTCACAGGCGCAGCATACGCCTGGCGTTCTTTTTGTAGGCAACAAACGGACAGAGACATTAAGTTTTGACCACGCTAAGCCTCCACCACCGAAGGGCAGGATGGTTTCATCGATAGGAAGCATTGAAGATCATGCAAAATTATGGAAGCTAGTGTGTTTCTTTCCAGGATTCACTATGATTTGCTGGTTTTTGCTGCGGAAAGCCGTGGAATTTGAAACGAACGCAATGCATTTTGGGTGTAGTAACCTCAGAAATTCAGATAGAATCCCTAGAGAAACCAAGAGATCCTATCATTTGGAGATCAGGCTGTCATGAATCAGCTTGCTTTTGCCTCAAGAGTTTGTGGGAATTGTGGAGCTGAAACATCTTGCAATGGGGTCGTTCTCCTGTGAAGAGTTTGAACTGAAAAGCTGCGGCAATTGCAAAATAGAAGCACAATTGCTTGTCCCATTGTGGATAGATATGGATAGATAGGGTTGAACCATCCACTAAATTGTTTTCTCGGCCGCGGGGAGGGACGAAGAATACACACGCGCAGGATTTTTGGTCTCACAAACGTACTCTGTGACTCTGTGCCGCATGCCGAACCTGCACAGCTTGAGCGGAGCGCGATCTCCAATGTCACCACCTCCATATTTTGAGGATTTTTTAGAAGCTGCAAGTCCTTTTGTTGGAATACTGTATTTTCTCTGGAAATATGGTGGATTCCGATTCTCAGTGACATTCTCAAGATGGCAACCGCAAGTCTATGACAATATCATCAACTTGACGTTTCCGTGTGTTTCCGGTCTAAATGACCTCTTAATTCAAGCCATTGACATGTCATACCAGCTCGACATCTATATGATCCTACAAATAATATATATATATACCGTTAAAAACAAAGTTAGAATGCGGTTTTGGCTTCGCGTGATGGTGGCCCGTTTGGCCCCCCCCCCACGGCAGTCGCATTCTAACTGAGGAAACACCTGTAAATATGCAGAAACACAGTTAGAATGCGGCGCCAAAATTGGTAAGAAAATGTAAGTTTTGACCGGTATTTTACAGGCGAAATACAGTTAGAATGCCTCCTCCTTTTCTTCTATATTGTTCCTTGCCCTTCCTTTTCTTCTATGTCTTTTTCATTGATCTATATCTGCTGTAGTTTCCGGGGGGCATTTTATCTGTTGTTTTTCTACTGTAGCCACATTTCTGACCCGCAGGGAACCTGGAGTGCCCTTGTCTCTTTTCCGATCTTATCGGCTTCCCTTTCCTTGTCCTTTTGTTTCTAAAATGTTCCTTTCCCTTCCTTTTCTTCTATGTCTGTATTCATTGATCTATACGTGCTGTAGTTTCCGTAAGCATTCTATCTGTTGTTTTCCCTGCTGTAGCCATATGTTTCTGACCCGCAGGGAACCTGGAATGCCCTTGTCATGCCCTTGTCTCTTTTCCGACCTTATCCTCTTCCCTCTTCTCGTCCTTTTCTTCTATATTGTTCCTTACCCTTCCTTTTCTTCTATGTTTTTTTCATTGATCTATATCTGCTGTAGTTTCCGGGGAGGCATTCTAGTCTATCCGTTGTTTTCCCCACTGTAGCCAGATGTTTCTGACCCGCAGGGAACCTTGAGTGCCCTTGTCTCTTTTCCGACCTTATCCTCTTCCCTTTTCTCCTCCTTTTCTTCTATATTTATCCTTGCCCTTCCTTTTCTTCTATGTCTTTTTCATTGATCTATATCTGCTGTAGTTTCCGGGGAGGCATTCTATCTGTTGTTTTCCCTGCTGTAGCCATATGTATATGTTTCTGACCCGCAGGGAACCTGGAGTGCCCTTGTCTCTTTTCCGATCTTATCCTCTTCCCTTTTCTCCTCCTTCTCTTGTATATTGTTACTTACCCTTCCTTTTCTTCTATGTCTTTTTCATTGATCTATATCTGCTGTAGTTTCCGGGGAGGCATTCTATCTGTTGTTTTCGCCGCTGTAGCCATATGTTTCTGACCCGCAGGGAACCTGGAGTGCCCTTGTCTCTTTTCCGACCTTAATTCTTCCCTTCTCTCCTCCTTTTCTTCTATATTGTTCCTTACCCTTCCTTTTCTTCTATGTCTTTTTCATTGATCTATATCTGCTCTTGTTTCCGGGGAGGCATTCTATCTGTTGTTTTCCCCACTGTAGCCAGATGTTTCTGACCCGCAGGGAACCTGGAGTGCCCTTGTCTCTTTTCCGACCTTATCCTATTCCCTTTTCTCCTCCTTTTCTTCTATATTTGTTCCTTACCCTTCCTTTTCTTCTATGTCTTTTTCATTGATCTATATCTGCTGTAGTTTCCGGGGAGGCATTCTATCTGTTGTTTTCCCTGCTGTAGCCAGATGTTTCTGACCCGCAGGGAACCTGGAGTGCCCTTGTCTCTTTTCCGATCTTATCCTCTTCCCTTTTCTCCTCCTTTTCTTCTATATTGTTACTTACCCTTCCTTTTCTTCTATGTCTTTTTCATTGATCTATATCTGCTGTAGTTTCCGGGGAGGCATTCTATCTGTTGTTTTCGCCACTGTAGCCATATGTTTCTGACCCGCAGGGAACCTGGAGTGCCCTTGTCTCTTTTCCGATCTTATCCTCTTCCCTTTTCTCCTCCTTTTCTTCTATATTGTTACTTACCCTTCCTTTTCTTCTATGTCTTTTTCATTGATCTATATCTGCTCTTGTTTCCGGGGAGGCATTCTATCTGTTGTTTTCCGCACTGTAGCCATATGTTTCTGACCCGCAGGGAACCTGGAGTGCCCTTGTCTCTTTTCCGACCTTATCCTCTTCCCTTTTCTCCTCCTTTTCTTCTATATTGTTCCTTACCCTTTCTTTTCTTCTATGTCGTTTTCATTGATCTATATCTGCTGTAGTTTCCGGGGAGGCATTCTATCTGTTGTTTTCCCTGCTGTAGCCAAATGTTTCTGACCCGCAGGGAACCTGGAGTGCCCTTGTCTCTTTTCCGACCCTATCCTCTTCCCTTTTCTCCTCCTTTTCTTCTATATTGTTCCTTACCCTTCCTTTTCTTCTATGTCTTTTTCATTGATCTATATCTGCTGTAGTTTCCGGGGGGGGAATTCTATCCGTTGTTTTCCGCACTGTAGCCATATGTTTCTGACCCGCAGGGAACCTGGAGTGCCCTTGTCTCTTTTCCGATCTTATCCTCTTCCCTTTTCTCCTCCTTTTCTTCTATATTCTTCCTTACCCTTCCTTTTCTTCTGTGTCTTTTTCATGGATCTATATCTGCTGTAGTTTCCCGGGAGACATTCTATCTGTTGTTTTCCCTGCTGTAGCCATATGTTTCTGACCCGCAGGGAACCTGGAGTGCCCTTGTCTCTTTTCCGATCTTATCCTCTTCCCTTTTCTCCTCCTTTTCTTCTATATTGTTACTTACCCTTCCTTTTCTTCTATGCCTTTTTCATTGATCTATATCTGCTGTAGTTTCCGGGGAGGCATTCTATCTGTTGTTTTCCCCGCTGTAGCCATATGTTTCTGACCCGCAGGGAACCTGGAGTGCCCCTGTCTCTTTTCCGATCTTATCCTCTTCCCTTTCCTCCTCCTTTTCTTTTTCATTGTTCCGTAATTACTCTTCCTTGTCTTCTGTCTTTTTCATTGATCTATATCTGCTGTAGTTTCCGGGGAGGCATTCTATCTGTTGTTTACCCCACTGTAGCCATATGTTTCTGACCCGCACGGAACCCTTGTCTCTCTTCCGATCTTATCCTCTTCCCTTTTCTCCTCCTTTTCTTCTATATGTTTTCCTTACCATTCCTTTTCTTCTATGTCTTTTTCATTGATCTATATCTGCTGTAGTTTCCGGGGAGGCATTCTATCTGTTGTTTTCCCCACTGTAGCCATATGTTTCTGACCCGCAGGGAACCTGGAGTGCCATTGTCTCTTTTCCGACCTTATCCTCTTCCCTTTTTCTCCTCCTTTTCTTCTATATTGTTCCTTACCCTTCCTTTTCTTCTATGTCTTTTTCATGGATCTATATCTGCTGTAGTTTCCCGGGAGGCATTCTATCTGTTGTTTTCCCCACTGTAGCCAGATGCTTCTGACCCGCAGGGAACCTGGAGTGCCCTTGTCTCTTTTCCGATCTTATCCTCTTCCCTTTTCTCCTCCTTTTCTTCTATATTGTTCCTTAATTACTCTTCCTTCTCTTCTATGTCTTTTTCATTAATCTATATCTGCTGTAGTTTCCGGGGAGGCATTTCTCTGTTGTTTTCCGCACTGTAGCCATATGTTTCTGACCCGCAGGGAACCTGGAGTGCCCTTGTCTCTTTTCCGATCTTATCCTCTTCCCTTTTCTCCTCCTTTTCTTCTATATTCTTCCTTACCCTTCCTTTTCTTCTATGTCTTTTTCATTGATCTATACCTGCTGTAGTTTCCGGGGAGGCATTCTATCTGTTGTTTTCCCCACTGTAGCCATATGTTTCTGACCCGCAGGGAACCTGGAGTGCCCTTGTCTCTTTTCCGATCTTATCCTCTTCCCTTTTCTCCTCCTTTTCTGCTATATTGTTCCTTACCCTTCCTTTTCTTCTATGTCTTTTTCATTGATCTATATCTGCTGTAGTTTCCGGGGAGGCATTCTAGTTTTCCCTGCTGTGCCATATGTTTCTGACCCGCAGGGAACCCGGAGCGCCCTTGTTCCCTTTTCTCGTCTTCTTCTTCTGTATTGTTCCTTACCCTTCCTTTTCTTCTGTCTTTTTCATTGATCTATATCTGCTGTAGTTTCCGGGGAGGCATTCTATCTGTTGTTTTCCCCAGTGTAGCCAGATGTTTCTGACCCGCAGGGAACCTGGAGTGCCCTTGTCTCTTTTCCGATCTTATCCTCTTCCCTTCTCCTCCTTTTCTTCTATATTGTTCCTTGCCCTTCCTGTTCTTCTATGTCTTTTTCATTGATAAATATCTGCTGTAGTTTCCGGGGAGGCATTCTATCTGTTGTTTTCGCCACTGTAGCCATATGTTTCTGACCCGCAGGGAACCTGGAGTGCCCTTGTCTCTTTTCCGACCTTATCCTCTTCCCTTTTCTCCTCCTTTTCTTCTATATTGTTACTTACCCTTCCTTTTCTTATGTCTTTTTCATTGATCTATATCTGCTGTAGTTTCCGGGGAGGCATTCTATCTGTTGTTTTCCC